AAGGTGGCCGCAATAGTTGTCTAGGGAAATGTAACAAAAGCGATTAGATAGCGGGCAGAAATGAAACGCACCTCCGGGCCAATATGTATAAGGAGTAGTGTCATGAAAAACTAACGTTTCGAACTTGAGAAATCGAAACGTGTGGAACAGTAACAAAACGCATTTATTTTTTACGATCACAAGAATTTACAGTATTGCAAAAAGTTCCTGGGCTTGACGACCAAACAAAGAAAGTTAAGCAAAAACTGCTGATAAAGAAGAGATGCAAATCTTCTACTGACCAGTGAGCATCAATCGATTTGATTGATACAAATAATCAGTTACTTTTAATTTCCTTGGCGGATGCTCGATAGAATTATTTCTTTTCAAAAAGAATATCAAAGTTTTACGTAATCCCGGCACTGTCTGGTTACTGTTGTAATCTAATCCAAACAAATTAAAATCATTTCCGATGCTTGTGTTTATTTTAAGAGGAAATTCTTTTCCCACGCAGGCTTAAAAAATGTACGTAAGATAAACCGATTTCCTTTGGCTTATATTTCAGTTGTGACCAACATTAGGACGGCGAACAAGTACTGCCTCAAGGAGAATCAAAGCTGACAGCCGTTGCTTGAAGACCACTGATAGTTCACTTCCTATTTAGGTGAGGTAGGAATAGCGAGTCAGTTCAAAATTTCCCTCTCTAATTTTGCATCATTTGCGATAGAGTTTGTTTCTCTGGTTGAACACTTCTGGTTGATGCCATGCCGGTTCCAGCTCTGATCTCATCTTTTTTAAAAGAATTCGGTCATTCACTTCAGTTGTTTCCACAGTGAATCGAATGAGTAGGTGGCATACAGACAGCACCTTTAACAAAATTTCGAAGAATAGGATACTCCAGCGCATTTTATCAAAGTGCATCGAGGAACAAATCAGTTTCATTTACAGAGTGTGTAGTATAAATAGTCTTTCGATCAAGCCTCGCTTCTGGAGGTCACAGTTTTCTGATCCACATCCTTACAAACATTTACCCCTTTCTCTTTCAAAACTGGATTCTTTTCTATTTTTAGCAACACAATTTATCCGCAATCTGTTTTAACTTACGCGTCAATTACAAACATAACGAAAAAAATTTTCCCACCTTCCTGACCAGATAATCCATCTTATAATCACGGCTTAAAATTTTTCAGTTGGGATGTTAACCCCTGTTTCATCGAATAACTGTTAGGCAACAATAACAACAACGCCTAATGTAGGCTCCCTAACCTAATTTTTTCCCCACTCCTTGATCCTGCGAAGATAAGAAGGTTTCCTCTCATCACTGTAACGCCATCCATCGGTAAAATACCATAGCCTAGGGCCGAGAACTTTCATGTTCGCCACAAGGATGTCTTCAGTGGTACTTATCAGTTCATTTGGGACATCTTGGGACAAGTGTGGTTTAAACGAGCATGAAACAGCAGGGGCGAAAGGAAATTGGCAAAGACGAGGCGTAGGATGTCTGTAGTACTTTTACTATCAACTCGTATGTCGCATGATAAAGTCAAACCAGACAGTGTTCTAATTCGTTACCCAGAAAACGTTCAGTTTCATTCAATCGGCACTGGTGGTCGAGGATGGCCTTTACTATATTTTCAGCTTCTTCCGTTTCCTCTCAAATCTTAAGAGTAGCTTTAAATCTCTCACTTCTACACTAGTTTCTCTCATTAATTAAAACTCAATGGCGCGCGTGGGCGCTTTTCGAGGAACGTCTAAAGGTCACATGTTTGCGCCAAAATAGCAACTCGCAAGGAGAGAACCTGACAGCATTTTATTCTTTTGTTCTTTTGGAATTTCTGCTCAGTCTGCCGCTAAAAGTGTTTTCTTCACTTCATCCAAAGTGGCTTTGAAACGTCTCATTCATTCGGCGGTTTTCCCTTTTTTCATTCATGCAACCTTAATACAATGAAAGGAGCAAAGAAGTTGGAAGAAACACGGAAACATTTGTCTGCGATCAAACTTAATGCCGACTTTCTGTAAGAAAATTGTAAAGCATCGATTAATAGAAATGAGAAAGAAATTAACATCGCTGCGAGAACTTTTACACAAGAAACTCTATTTTGAATCGAACCCCTCGAAGCAGTAAGCTGAAGGAATATTGGGTTAATCCTATTTTACAGGTTCCACGATACGAACCGACAGATTATGCCAAAGAATCGTAATTTTAAAGCCTTAGTTTATTGTCTTGGTGCAAAGTAGTTTGTTTTATTTTGCCAGCTGCCCTAGCCCAAAATGAAGGTGACTTGTTTTTCATCACTATCCACTATAGACCAGGTCATTGGGTCGAAGAATTCAAGCTAGTAATGATAATAGGAAAGCAATTCATAAAATTGTTTTCGACGTGGCACTTGACATCAAAACATTGTGAAGTAGTTTCTGCTAAGATTCAGTGCTGCATGCATGCATGCATTAGTCCTTCAAATAAATAGCTACGTGTTTCTCTCTTACGTACAGCATTAATACCACCTGAGCTAGAGGTGCTTTTCTCAGGGAAAAACAAATTACACGTACGTGCCACAAGTCACTGTAGTTGTTGACATAAAAAACGAGACTGTGGTTGACAACAAGGGACGCCATGTTGTTTAGATGCTACTGACGTCAGGGAACCGGAAGTGAATTACAAGTCGTCTTAATTAATTTTTTAGCACAACTGTCGAAAACAACCCGATCCATCGATTTATCTGTTAAGCACAACAAATGAAAACACGAATATCTTGTTACTGGGATGCAAGGATTATTTGGATAACAGTCTAAAAGTGCTAAAACTGTGATCAGTTGTAACTTCCGTATGACAATACTTAGCTCTTACGGCTGCAAAACAAAGCAGTTCTAGTTATTATTATTGTCGTCATTTTCCTTCGTACACTCTTTATTATTTAATCGTGGAAATATTTAAATATACAGAAGGCACTGACAACTGGTGCATTGCGTGCCTTCACTGAACACTTTAGCGACGACAGGATGTAAATTTTTGTCATTCGTGTGAAACGTGACGTCAGTCAAATTAACAATTTCCTTTTTTTAAGAGAAGCAGTTGGTAATTAAAAAACTTTCCCTACCTACGCTTCAAACCATCTCGCTTCCATTGATCGTAACAATTCCCAAATAACATTCTAAACGCACTTCAAAAACGCCTACCAACGATTACTCTTTCAGACCCGGAAATTGTACCACTAAATCAATTGATTTTTTTTCACGAAAGCTTTACTGTTGTTGTTGTTGTTTTGTTTTGTATTTGTGTTTATTTTTCCTTTTTGTTTTAATCTCGGGCATGAGTAGCTTGACCGGTTAAAAAGGCATGGATGGGCAATATTGAATTATCAGGTTCCAAGGAATCTTTACAAGGAAAGATATCCATATTTGGACCCTTCAAGAGAAAAGATATCCATCTTTAGACCTTTTACTCATCCTGATCGTATGATATTGCCTTTTATAAATCTCGTAAGGCAAACAACGTGTAATGTAGTATGAAGGGGAATAGACGCTTTTCGAATTTTTTTTACTTTACTTGAAAGCTTAAAATATCCGCATGGTATTTTATTTATGTCTACATTGGATAGAATACATTTTATTGTATTACATTCCTTTTCTATGAGTTGCAATTTATGGATTTTAACCTACTAACCGCAAGATTTGCATGGGAATCATGCCCCAAAGGTCTCGTTTTCTTGTCAATTTAGACTCATAACGATTGCTTTTAACAGTAGAGGAAGGAAGTTCTTCCAGTAGTAAGGGAAGAGTTTTTTTTTTTTTTCTGCTTTTACATTTTTTAAGATGGAATAATATCAGCATTTCTGCCAATCAACAAATTCCGTTTTCAATTTGTTAATTTTTTTTTTTAAGTAAGTCCTTGTTAAGTTTATTTTCAACGTCTCATTTACGAACTGTGCCGTAAACTCAGATGTAAAAGATTGTTACTATCAATTGTAGAGCTAAGCAATCAGCTGGAGATCACTGTCTTTCGCTTCCAATACGTCCAAACCTCGCCTGACGTAGACGTAATGAAGAGAATTTCGATTAAATATTCATTTTATTCTATCTAGGATGGAGAACAAACTCATGGTTTATAATATCCAGGTTTCGTCTGTTTGTTTTCACTCGTTTCACTGTTAGTCAGTAGTTTGAAAAGTTTAAACGAAGAAATGTAATATATCCTTATGAGAAGTTAACTTTTTTCTTATCTTTTGTACATGTTGTATGCGGAACCCTCTTTCACTTTACCAAAGGAAATATTTTCGTCACTTGTAACATGTCATTATTATTTCCGGATTTCATATTTTCCTTACATTTTTATAGTTTTATTCCACGATCTGCTTAGCAAGTCATTTATCAAATTTAGTTCAAATCAAACTTATTAATATATTACATAATGAAGATTCACTTTCTATTCTCGTCTTCTGTAGTACTTTTCCAAGGAAAAGTTACCCCTCCTTTCTGGGAAAAAAATCAACATTTGTGGTTACCAAGGCGACTGACTCGGGGTCAATGCATAAAATGTCAAAAAACTGCTGACTGCTTTGGTCGCTTATTCTCAGTGTACACAAAGTCAGCGAATACTAACATTTTTAAATGTCCTTCAACGTTGGTACTTGTTGAAAGCAGTTAACATTTCGGAAATGTTCGGGCTCTATTCGTAACATCTTCGAGTAGTCATGGATGAGTTTTTCTAAACAATACACTGACCTTCGTTAGCTTTCGGCATGATACTGACCACTCGCTAGCGTGACGCTGTAAACTGGGTTTCCGCTATATTGTAAGATCACTGACGTAATTCGATTCACTACAATTGCCAAAGACATCAGAATACAATACAATGAGCAATTAACTACTTCAGATTCCATCTTTAATGAGATCTCCAACAAAAAAAAACAAACCGAAAATATCTCAGCAAGAAATAAATGACGTCAAATACGATGAAATCCGCCTACTGCAATAAAAAGCGGTGTCAAGTAGTGGGAAATGTAAAACGGTGTTTCGCGCCACAGAACATTAGCTTAATAACTCTGCTCCTGAAAGTATCGCTGTACTGCAGAATCCAGCAAAATCTCTCCACAAGGGAGCAAAAGACTTCACAGCGAGGAGAATTATTTAAAAGGTAGGAGGAACCGAGGCGTAAACTCGAACTGTTATATATGATAGTATTTAGATCAGATTTGTTCAGTGTAAACGAGCGAAGTTGAATACATAATGATTAGTGTTTCTTCATTATATACCGAATCTTCTGTATGTGCACATGAAGAGCTCTTGATTTCACTTTATTATTCCCGTAGGTGGTTAGAATAACTGGTTACTTTAACTGTAGTGCCTTTCACCTAACTGTGAGTTCCTTTCAACGATGACTGTTTTAAAACATACAGTTTTGAGTGACAAGTATCCACTATAAACTCCTAAAAGATCCCTACCTTTTGATTTATAGATAAAACTAAACAAAAACATAACAGCGCGTGGCATGGATCCAAAAACGAAACAAATACAAGCAAATGTGTCTCATCGTTCTGTTGTTCTCGCAAGGTCACGAGATTCCAAAAATACATTTTAAGAATCTGACATAAGTTTACAAATTTAACTTCGGCTTTGTAACCAATTCACATCACTGTTCCATCTTAAAAGAACCCCTATATCAAGCTATTTTCTCTTTTGTCAGAGGGACTGCCCCTGACAGACAGACCGTCATGTGACAAGTTCTGCAGGTCGAAGAATAATATTTTCAATTTTCAGCTAAGTGGTGATGGAAATCAAACGAACATCGATTTAATGTGCCTTCCGCTAAAATGGGCCCATTTTTCCAACCTCATCAACTTAAAACACAAGCGACGTCGTTCTTCTTAGCTTATAATTGATAAATCTAAAGCTTTCTCGGCAACTAGAAAGTAAGTACTCTATTTCCTGATACCATACTTTGAATTGAGTCACTCGCTAAAATTGGAATTTTATTACGAATGTTGAACCGCGTTTTCCGTTTTTTACACGCCAATTTGTTCACTGAAATAGCTCGTTGACTTTTAGCTCTCAGACAGCTAGAAATTTATTGTTTTGTTTCGTTAAGACAAGTTTGTGGAGTCACTTGCTAAGATATAAATTTTATTGACGGATATCCAACAGTTTTCCGTTACATAACCTGTCTGTTCTGCCGTTATCGGTTCGCTAGTGCCACGCTACACTACACTCACGCCATCGTCTCAATTTGATGAGTCATTTTGATCTCAACAAAGATATCCGGTCCTTTGGTTTTGTGACTTGATTTGTGTTTAATTAAAAAAAAAAATGCAGCTATTTCTAACGTATTGTTCGTGAATGAAAGTGTTCTCACAAGAGATCACGAAAATCTCAAACCTTCAAATGAATGCGGACAGAATCAGATTAGATGTCATTAAACTATGTTCGTCATATCAGATACGTTTACTACGGCTGCTGACGCCGCGGCAATATTGTCAGCGCGGTCCTAAAATCAATATTCGGTTGTCTGGCTTCACTTACGTCTACGAAAAATCTGTTTATCGAGTTGACCTTTATAATGACGTTAGCAGATACCTCACTCTGAAAATTGCGAGGTCTTCGGTCTTCGGTCTTCGGTAAAACCTTAATTTAAGTATATCCTTCAATGATCGAAAACTATCGATTTATCACGGCAGAAATACCTGTGATCGAGTTTTCATGGAAACAACGCTGCTGACGAATCCAATTTGTGTCAAAAATTTCGGACGCTTTCCTCTTGGACTTTATCCCTCAAAAATGAATTCAAAATGAACTGGACTTTCGGGATGAAATCAAGTTTTTGCATTATATTTAGTGGGTGGTACAAGAATTACAATACGAAGCTGTGGTTTTGGTTTTGATAGAAAAACAAAACGATTGAGTGGTGTCTCTGAGCGCGATATCCTGACCGAAGAAGAGAAAAGCTTCTTTAGTTTTTACATCGCTGTTTTCATTAATAGCGTGTTTACATGAAAAAGGACTAAAAATAGTTCTCCTGGATAAAAAAAAAATGAATCGATGTTTCCGTGAGCACACATGCAAAACTTTTACATAATATTCCATTTTTTCCAATGTGAAAAGTAAAACAATGACCTCGTTAATGGCGAGAAAACCGCATAAACAAAGAGACGCATATTGAAAATTCTTATGATTAATACCTCTGTTTATCGCTTTTTATCGAGAAGATTTTGGTACTAACGTTATTAGGTTTCTTCACGCGATCTCGCGTTACTACTGAACAAAATCCATCACTTAATTGCCAGAAAATAAATTTTTGAATCCTAGACTATCGTTTTTAAATCACGGCTAAGAACGCTACAAAAATGTCCGAGAAAGAACTTACCTGATGAGGGTCCTTGAGTAAAAATATTGATAAATGTTCATTTTCAGTAAAATATTGAACTTTTTTGCTAATATTTACGGGGCTGAGTCCTATCAAAGTCCCGTCACAGGTTAAACTAATGGATTTTTCATAATAAAGGAATGTGGCAAGAACTGATAAGAAAAAGTTTAATACTTAAACATGTTTGTTATATTAGTGTGTTTGGTTTGGACTAGCATCGAGGATCTAACAATACTAAACAGTCATTAAGGACTTGAATAAACAACGCCTTGGAAATGAAAACACTTGAGCACGAACAGTATATTCCGACACTGACCTCATGTACTATTTCTGCACAAAAGTGGTTTCAAAGGTTATACCAGGAAACAGGTAACAATCCAATTCTGGCGAAAAGATTCCTAACTTCATGCAAGGTTCAACTGAATTGCGCAATGTCCTGTAGTCGTTTAGGTTTGATATTGTTATCAAGGATCGAAATTAGAGAAGGTTGTTTTTTTTTTTTTTCCAGATATATTTAGATTAATATATTGGTAGAACTGTGCCGGTCGCCGTATTACAGTAGCCTTAAAAGCTGTCCTGAATCAGTTGTGTAGTTTTATAAAGAGATCTGCACGCGTTGATTGTTTTTCACCACAACCTTGTGTATATCCGCCTACGTGTTCTGTTTCCATACCTTGAGTCATCTTCACACCGAAGAAATGGTCAAATCGTTTACGTGATTTCATTTGATTTTAACCCCTCTAACTCAAGCTTGGCAGTTTTTTAATGCTCGTTATTGGATTTTGATCGCACTCTTTGCCATGACTTCAAATGTAACTTTTAGAATTATCGTGGGCGTAAAAAAGGGAACTAGTTACACGCACTGCGTGGGTTTAAAGCGTACAGTGACAACACAAGAGATCTTACGCCCTAAATGACTCAAACCACTGAAAAAGTCATTGTACGAAAAGAGAAAGCACTGCCTCATGACTTAAAATTTTCTTTGAGGCGTAACATTCCAAGGTTAGCTGTTTCAGTGTAGCTTCATCAAGGGCTGAGGTTTCCGCATTTTTTAGCTGGAGACATGCATGGTTTATCTCAGGGGGTAGTTGTCTGGAAAGGAAGCGGAAAACAACACACTACCAAATTCTCGATTTTTCGAGGATTCAGTGCTGGAACCTTAGCTTTAACCTGTGCCATCTTCTTGAGAAATCGTTAGAAGTCAAACGGTGTTTCACCCCGAGTTCTGTCAGTTCGCGACCTCTTATTGAGTTGTGAGAGTGGAAAGCCCAAGCGACATCACGCAAAAATAGTAGGTTAAACAGGATTAATCCTTAAGCTCAGCTCAGTTAGGAATTTCTGAAGAAATCTCTAAAGAGTAACGTTATGAATATGTCGCGTAGATAAAATTATTAATCAGAAAGAGGTGAAACAACTTAAAAACGAAAAACCTTGATCAACCTAAATCTTCCGATTTTATGTTTTTTGTACATCCAAGAGTGTCATTTGAATACTTAATAATTGAGAAGTACTAGTATCTCAGGCACTGTAGACCTTCGAGAAAAAAAGATTGTGACTTCGATAGATGAAAGAATTCAGAGAACGTGCGGTCGATAACTACGAAGCCCTACGACTTTGGAACTAAGCAGGCACACGTGGAAGCAACATAAATGACAAATCAATCGAGACGAGACTTTATGTAAAAGTAGTCACCACTTCAAGTTATTATCACAATCAAAAGAATTAAGCTATTGGACTTTTTATATACTTTTTTATTTTCCTTTCTTCTGTTCAATACTTAAACTTTGTGATGAAATGCGTGTTCTTTCCAGTTCTGCGAAAATCATTCCTAAATATTCCAAAATTAGTTCAATGAGATTGCTCAGCGAAGAAAAAAAATCTGAAAAAAAAACTGTTCCTATAAATGGTGGTCTTTCGTATTGTCTTAGTAAACCATTATCTTGTGAGTAACATGCAATTTGCTTTACAAAGTCAATCGGTATTACTGTCTAGTCTAAAGAGGGACATAAAGTCAGGAGGCAATGACGTATCTGTGACTAATATCTTCAAGTCCAATGTATACTTAGAACACTGAGCAGTTCACTACTTGAACCAGTCACATGAATCGCGGAGATGAACACGCAAAGCAAAAGTCGACTTAGATTGGAAGAAGCATTCTATTTCACCGACTTTTAACGAGAGACAAATCCAACAAGGCGAAAGTAAAGGAATAATCTAAGATAATTATTAGCTGTTTTCTTCATATCTCAGCTTCGTTACTAAGCTGATTTAATACAGCGCCTCTTTCAATTTATTGACGAGAGCTAAAAAAATTTTGTTACGTAAAGAATAGAGGTCTTGCGGTTCCGCGCACGCTAGAAAATCTGTACTCGCCTCGTCAAGAAAGCTATCAATCTGTGCAGGGGGTGAGATCAGGAGTGTGTGGGTAGTTTAGACTTTGCCTTCTTATCATTTGCATCGTGCGGTTAATATTCAACACAGTTTTATACTGATTACCACTGAACAACATTTGCACTTGTTTTAAAGATCAAATAAATGTTCCATTCCGGCGAATCTGAATTGACTTTGCAAATTGTCTCAGTGATTGCTCGGCTGAATATCTGCTTTCCTGTTGGCTCATTTTAAGTGATTGATACTTCATATTTATCGCGTGTAATTGAATTTATTGCCTGCATTCTGCCGGCATCGAATTGGGCAAAAAATCCGGATTGCTTAATAGTAATGTCTGCGAAGTTTACATTTAAACATAATCACCATATCGTCCTCTAGTTTGAAAAGAACTCAGCCAAATCAAGTTCAGCGTGAGATATTTCACGTTTCAGTTGAGATTCTGGGCCAAACAATTGTCGACACACCTTATCGAAGAAAAAAAGGTGTAAACTGGATTAAGAGCAAGAAATCAATTCTTAATCCCTGTCATTGCAGTGTATACCGACGATTTACTGAAATTGCACTCTTAACTAAAGTAGTTCAAGGTGAGAGAGTAGCCTGCGGAGAAAAAAATCCGCACTGTGCAACAATTCTTTCAAGGACAATGACTTTGTATGGGGGCAAATCGAAGCGTGCGTGTGGACAACTTTATCACCGATTGAACTCTAAATTCCACATCTTTGCCCTTGCGTAACGGTATGAAAACCCCTAGCTATTAACGCGTTTTAACCATTGTCTTTGCTAAATTTCACAAAAATTCCTATGTTTGCCTCTTTCCCTAGAGCAAAGCGCTGCATTATGTTTCTCATTCTTATCATTTTTACTAGATTAAGCTTTGTACAAAACCTTGTCACACGCGGACACTTAGCTGTGTGTGAACAGTCGGAAGCGTAATTTCTTGCGATTTGTTCCTTGACACTTCTTTTGTTCCATTGTCATTTTGGCATTTTCCAATCAATTTATCAAGCTCTGGATATTTAACCAATTGACGCCCAGCCTATTATACTTTGCTTTTTTTCGCTCTGCTTCCGTCACATCTGTATTGGACCAAGGCTCGTACAGACTGTGACATTCTTGCGTCGAATCGAGACGCAACAGACATAGCATTCGTTAGCCTGAGACCACACAGACGTCAGTTGAGGTGAACAAATTCCCACATCTCTCCAGTGTGTGCGCCAAATGCGTTAGCAATTTGCGGCCTTCTCAAGTTCCATTAGCTTTTAGCTTTGTTTATTTACGTTGGCTTGCTTGTGTTTCAGTAAACAGAAAAGATTGAAGTGCACTCGCGACGTTCTAGAGAACCAATGCCTACAGTAATGGACAACCAGTGGTCTTCACCCAAGTTTATCACTTGTCCTGACTGCGGTGAGAGATACGACAGTGCACGCAAGAGACGACTGATCGACACATGTGGCCATCCCCGATGTTACTCGTGTCTTTTCGTGGATAAACCGTGTCCTTTATGTCAGAGTGAGTACTCGAGTGCAAATACGTTTAAGTTACCAGCTATTTAGTGCAAAAATACGAGCCTAGATTTCTTAATCACCCTCCGCTAAGAGAGACCTTCATAACTGGGAATACTCAGTTGTTGCGCTCAGTTACAAAGTTTCTTCTTATGCCTCAGTTTTACAATAATATTTTTACAGAAAAGCTGAACTGATGTTAAACAGTCTGAAGAAATTACATCTTCGACCGAAAATTCCATTGAAATCTCTTTGAATTTCCAGCTAAAGCTTACTGCTTTGAAGATTTTGTTGACAAACCCTAAGAAATGCTCTTATCGAAAGAAGCGAGACCATGCACTCAACTGAGGGAACGAGAGAGTATCGCTGTCGTAGTATATTTTCATATAACACAGCTTTGCAACAACAATTGTATAACTCGTAGTTAATCATCCGAATTATTACACTACTTTGTAACGTAGCTGTTCGTTCCACCGAAAAAGTAGAGAGAGAGCTCTTGTCATCGTATTTGCAAAGCAGGATATAAACCCATGATTCTGTGATGTCTTACAGAAGCTGATAGATAGTCAAAAAGCGCTTTATCAGAAGAAAATTGTATATTGAAAAAGAACAAGTGGCATATTTTGGATCCTCGAATTTGAAGTTTACAATCCGATATTGTTTAGGACTGTTTTGGAAAACTTTAATGACGGCATGAACCTCGTATTGCACGATAAGATGTCTTACACAGCAAAAAGAAGCTCAACAAGAGTGAATGAGTACCACTGAGTTGCTTCAAAACATTACGTGACATTGTACTTTGAAAACTCTATGCTCCACGAGTCATTAAATTGTTTTACGTAAACTTTAAACCACAAAAACAAAATCGAGACAATTAGATGGAGAAGTACAGCTTGCGAACCGACCACGATAGACAAATCAACTTCCCGTCAGAAGTGTTTCGTTCTGTGGCAGACTGTGATCGCCACGAAAGACGTGGGTGGATACATGATTCACTGTTTCGATTGACTAACGATCCATACCTGCAGCACGCGATGATTGACTGTTGAACCTGCTGACGCGGGTCTTGAAACGGTAAAAGTTCATAACACAATAGGAGATAAATCGAAAAAGGTATTTTCAAACCGAAAATACGAAACAGCCGGTGGACAACTGCTAGGTGATTCCTACAGGATTTTAACACATCTGCTGACGCAGATAACAAGAACAAGCGAATGATTACACTCGTCGTCCTCCGTTATTTAATTACGATTATTCGTCGTATTTTCTTAGCGTAATAAATCATCAAATAGCTTATGACTGTGCAAGCAGAATTACCTAGCTCAGTAATGTCAAGCTCGCGTAATCCATGTTGTTTGTTGAGGTTTCCGGAATTTAAAACGAAAATGAGAATCCAGTCTTTGGAGATTTCAGAACTAATTACCTATGGAATAATCTCCTCTTATCAAAACATACGCCTTAGTTACCTTGGAGACAGTTGCATGTCTCCCTTAATATTGTTAACATTGTTCAGTTCGTAAACTTGGTGGCATATCAAAATAATTCTGAAACGCTTGCGATAACAATTTTGAAACGCGCTCAATTAGCTGTCAATTCTTAGCTACAATTCAAAATCTAAGCCTAGAAATCACAGCAAATGTTTACATCTTCCGGTTTCTCGCTATTCAGTTGGAAGAGCAGATAAAATTCCAAAATCTCTGGCCTGTCCTAAAATGGCCAAAGCTTGTTCACACTCAAGAAGTGATTTCATTGAATCGTTTGTAGTTACTAGCCAAAAGAGCCTTTGTTAACTGTAGCGACGGTTGCGGCACGTTCATTTCACAGTTCTGAGAAATTCACAGTGGGTCACTAATTACTCAAGAGTTGATAATTTCAGGAGCGTGCTAACACGCAAGGATATTTCTCCAAACGATTTTCTGAACTCAGTAAACTTAGTTTATACTTAAGTGACTCTTTACTCCCAGGGGTGACTAAAACGAAATCTCTTTCCTTCCATATCAGTGCAGTGTAAGGAAGACCATTGGCACGAACAAAGAAGAATAAAGAAGAAAATAAACCACGGAAATTGTTTGATTTTCAGAGCTAAATTTACCAGATTGCAGAAACGTGAAACAGACAGACGGGAGAATTAGCCTTTAGTTCTAAGAATTGGAAGAATTGAAAAATGATCGCAAGATTTCTTTAATTTAGTAAAGGAAAGTTTTCGTGTAGTTTAAGATGTCCTGTAGAACAACCATTCAGGCCTACGATCCATGGTTCGTTAAAGACGCCCACAACAAGTTTTCACGAAGAACAAACACTGAACTTAGAACGTTAAATTTTTGAAGTAAGCCGCACACGCTGGAAATTCATAGTTGCCTACAGAAATGGTTAAACGGTTTTGAAATTCAGCTTTATCTGGCTTCGTTCCCAGAAAATCCCTATTGTAGGTTAGAAATAATCATTGACTGTACTCTAATTGTTTTTTGTCATAAGTAGCAAATGTAAGTAGCCTTCAGGGACACTTGACTTGTTGTTCTACTGACACGGTTCATGCAAATTAAGAAAAAAAAAAAGGTACGAGGAAATTTTACGAGAAAAGTCCATTTGATTAGAACCAAACTCTGATGTTTCCTCTCTTTTAATGTAGAGCTTCCACAAGACCCCAAGTCACGTGCCAGTTCATTCCATGCTGGAAGTTCTGGTTCTGAGGAATCCTTGAATACATCGAGCAACACTCTCTCATCCGGGAATCTTACCAAGGATCAGAGTTCGCTCTCACACCCAGACCTCAGTGTGATAAACAAAGAACGCGCGGCCACCTTGCCTGCTCGTGGCTTCAGAACAGGTAAAACGAGTTTTAATACCATTTTTTTTTTTCACGTGTTGACGCGAGCGGCTAAAAGTATGGTCCCTAAATGCTTTGTGTACCTCTACTGAATCTCCCGTACTTGAAATGTTGAGCTGGTTGGCTAAATCCGATTTTCGTAGGGCTAAATTTAATCCTTTGAATTCTCAGCAACTCGCTTCTTATTGAAAAAGCGGCATTATTAACTGTGTTGATTCATTCGATTTTAAGAGCGTGTTCCTGATTATTTTCAAAGCCTTGATATAAAGTTCAACATACCAGATCATTTGGCCATTGATACAATGGTTTAGTTAGTATTGATATATTTTGAGGCACTATTTTGAGAAAACCAAACCTATCGATATTATTTATGGCAGGAAATTGCCTTTTGGTGTTTTTGTTGTGCATACAGTTGTCAATTAAAAGGCGGTAAACCCGAAGCCGCAAGGCGAAAAAGCGCTAGAACAATAGAGACATAAAAACAACAGGACTTATTGTTGGTTCGATAAAACAAGATTTAACCTTAGTTGTTTTATCAAACAAATCAGTTAAGCTTTTCCTGTCTCGGTTTCAAAACGGAAAGGCGTTCCTACTGCGGGCAGTAGTTTATCCAAGTTCATTGCTTTCCCTCTCCACCGCTGTCCCTCAGTTTTTGAGGGGACCTCTCATGACTGAAAACTTGAAGGGCGAAACTCAAATAGCATCCCACAGTTGAATAAACAATTCTCTGTTTGTGGCTTCAGTTATTCCCACGCTTTGACGAGCCAAGAGGCCGTGTAGAAATTCTAAAACAAACTTCAATACAAGAAATCGAAGCAAAGAACCACAAAAAACATATATCAGTGTAACATTTAAATACCGCGTGCTAATAACATCAAAAACTTCCTTCCTTAGCCTCAGGAATGTAAACGAACCGTGCCTTTTGATTGTTTTGGAAGAAGCAAACCGCATAATTAGGCATAATTAGATGAAATTTGTTTGGCGTAGTCAAAAGCCCATTAATATCGGTGGTGAATGTGACGAGGCGACTTATTGTTACATCTGTATTACGAAGTGTCGGCTGTGCTTAAACTACCAAAGAACGGCAGTGGATAAATCGAATTCGCACACCGACAGTTTATGTGACTTCCTAGGGTAACAAATTACTTGTCTCGCACGCCCACGGTCGATTGATATCACTTCTTTACACTTGCATGCAAAATTCTGAAATCGCGCGCTGGATTAGGAAGATTGCCTCGGTTCACCAGTCAATTGCCTCTCATTGTTGCGATATTGAGATCACGTCGTTCTCTGGCTGAGACGATTCGGGAAACGGTTTGCCACCACGTACGAGCGAACGAAAACTGGTTGTGGAATCGTTTATGGTACAACATACTACAATGGCAAAAAGAAACTTGATGTGTTTGTAATAGCGTTGCGGCAATTGAAAAGCTACAAACAGACTTTGTTGATGTTCGATGATGGTAAAGGGAGAAACTATTAAACGTTGAAACATGTTGAAGTTTAAGAGAGTCAAACAGAAGTTTCCCGAGAAGAGTAACACACTTGTTGCGAAGCCTTCCGTTGTCAGAGCTAGAGTAATACAAGGTTATTCTTTACAGAGTTTGTGAAGTGATTTGACAAACGAAATTACTACCTCTATGTATTGTTATGTTGTCCCATATATTGAAAGCATTAATGTTGTTGGTTTTTTCTTTCTTACAGATAACTACTTCAGGTCTCTATACAGATATGACCCTCACTCTACGGGTAAGTTTGTCAACTTTTATTGATCGTGATTCGCGTTCAGTTCTAATAAACGCCAGTAAGCTGTTCCACTACCAACTCCATTGTCCAACGACTGAAATTACACGGAATTTTACAAGACGGAATTTTAAGATAGTGGATCTAATCAGTACCACAAAGAAACCTCGCGTTTTATCTTGTTGTCTTGGATTACTTCCCAGTGATCTTGTGGTCTCGTCAAGATTGAAAGTTGACGGATTTATGGTGTTAAACCATAAATCAGAAGGCTTGACCGAGTCCCAATGAAGATAAAACTATAAATCCTATTTCATTTAACAGTTTTAATCCCCTGTCGTGTATGCTAATTCGAACTCTTTCCGGCGAAATGTTTGTCAGTGAAACTCAGCGACTTGCACATGTGGCGTGACAGCTTAGAGGTTAAAAAAAAAAACAAAAAAAAAAACCTAAACACTTTGGATCTCACTTAGTATTCAGAGAAAACAATTGTTGAAACCGTTCCAACAAGAGTCTTCAACTCCGAATATCGTGTTTTTTTTTTTATTTTCCCACTCGCATAGTTCATATTCCATCACGTTCGAAGCCTCTGCGTGAGTTGTGTTGTTTTTTCAAGGAAACAGTTCCCCACCTCAGTTTATGACGATAGGTCTGACTAGAGAGCTAGCGTGTCTTCCTTCCATTGGATCGTCAGCTCTGAATGGCTAATAGGGGCCAGCAGAAATATTCGTGTGCAGGGTGATCAAGTTTTACTGAGATGTCCAAATTTCAGTGATCTACCGATAGCAAGTTACTGTGTCGACTTTAAAGCGAAAGTATATTGTAACGACTTCTCATTAAGACTCAGTTTTGTCAGTGCGCTTCAAAAGATTTTTACTGCATGAGCAGTAATAGCAGTTTATCGCGAGACGTGCAAATTTATAATTATAACTTTTGCCAACTGTACAGAACAATATTCACGAACCGTTTCATTTATGACGTGTTTACAAAGCCTAATATCACTTTTATTACGCCAACAGAAAATACAGACGTCAAAGATTTCAAGCAGAGGAACAGAAGCGTGCAAAATTATCATAAATCACTGGAAAATCTCTCAGACCAGTTTTGGAAAAGTGTTGAAAGAGCTTCCAGTCCACTGGGACGAAGTACAGGTAAGTTTCGTGACTTCAATGTCGATGTTAGGTGACCGATTTCTGACGATTGTATTGATTTGTGGCTACCATATCATGTTTTGGAGATAAAAGGACAAGGGCTACTCATATTCTGCTTATAGGAATATTTTCACAAGATATTGCTTGATAGCTTAAACACACATATCTGATGTTATGATAACAAAATTATCACGAGAACGATAAACCGCTATCTAACTAGGATAAAATTGTCGGCTGTTCAGCAAGGGGTCAAATGATAGCCATAGAGATAGACAAATTTCTGCCCAATTGCCTGGGTTTTAGCTCCCGTTTATGGACACTTTCGAGAGGTTTATAAAGTGTCCATGGTAACTTCGGGATTCTTCGGGAATGTAGGAAAGACAGAGAACTTGTATGGAATTTTTAGAACGCAAAGATTTGATCAAGTAGAGATGTCTTCCGTTAAAGTGTCATGAGAGTGTTTTGGTTTCAGTTGTCTTTCCAATCGCTTGTTTAGAACGTTCTTGAAATTTTTTATCCACTGGCCAGGTGTTAAGACAATGCTCACTGTAGTCTTTTTGTGGATACACAGTGGCACATGACCTGCGTGGTAAACAATAAATAGGAAACGCATTTTACCGCACTTCAACCTCGTTCTTCAATCGTGTTTCTCTGTTATCGTCACTGAACGAAATACACTTTCCTCAGGCCCAATTTCTCATGGAAAATGAAACTTACTTTGCCATGCTGCGATAGTTTATTTTCATGGAGAAAACGGCCCTTATGTCAGGGAACCGCCTATCTTCCATCAAAAATATCAGAGAACGCAGCAACATCGCGTAAAATAATCATATCAAACTTTTCTTATTGTTGAACGCCTTCAATGCCAGCGCCAGTGGCCATCATGACGTTTTTAAATCGTTTCATGATTGAACCCATTCCTTTTGCAGCATATCTGTAAACCTCTTGCCTCTTTACATCCCAACATCAGTTTGCCGGCATATTCTCCTCTATATTCTCGTCCATTTCCTTCGGTACTGAAAAGGAGAATTTGTTTATCAATCAAGAATTCCTTTGGTTATCGTACCATTCAATCCCATGACCTTAATGTTTGATTGAAGGGCGATATCGTCAGGAGAAATGAGATGCTAATCAATCTCCGGTCACGGGTTTATGGGCTAAAACTGTGTCTATGGGATAGGAAAGTTCTGTACAGTATGCTGTTATTGCGCGAGATTATTTTTTTATAAATAAATAATGTTGATATTTATTTATTTTGTTTAATCCACAGTCTCGTCATTAAAGAGTGATGATTCGCTTCCGTCATCGATAAGGTCCTCCACGGATGACGTCACATCCACTCTTTCCAGACTAACAGTTCCAGACCTACCACGGCGGCGCTCCTCCACGGATGTCCCGAAAAGACCCGAGTACCAGAAACGTGATTCGTATAGAAGCGAAGCCTTACGAAAACCAGACATTTCCGAAGTAAGGCCACGATCACAGTCCGACTTTATCGCTATAAAATCTTCCGAAGGAGAATTCAGGGAAAGGCATTTCTACACTTTGCCAACCAATTTCCACCGCTCAGATTTTGACAGATATCGGGCCGGCTCCGATAAGTCATCGGACACTTCGCTGCCTTTTTCCGATTCATGTTCGGAAAGTTCCGGTGATTCCGACCATTTGACTGTTGGCAATCCGCGAAGCCCGCCGTACAGGGGAATGACAAAGAGATTGTCATATGACGAGAATCAAAACGAACGATTAAAGATCGCCGAGGAGCGACTCCTGAGTAGATTGATGGGGACTGAAGAGGAAGCAAAGAGAAAAATGGATGCTAAAAACCCAATGGAAAATGACATCCATTGGGTGATAGAGCCTCCTAAGCAAGATGAGCCTAAGAACACCAGTGGAGTACACACGACCAGCGGTCATCCAACAAAACCAGATCCTCCAAAGCGAAGAGAGAGCGGTCAAAGAATCAATGTTCAGAAATCACAGGAGGTCAACGGACAGTATAGAACAGTTACATCTCTTTGATGCGCGTGTCATACAAGATAATAAAAATAAATAAAAACAACAACAACAAAAAAAAAAACAGATTTTGTCAGTACAAGCTGACACGGTATCTAATTATGTTTAGTATTGTATTAATATTATTCAAGATTATGCTGGAAGGCGCTGTTTAATATTATATTGATATTATTCAAGATTATGATGAAAGGCGCTCTAGGGACCGCTGTTGATCAGAGGTCTAAAAGCAGGACTTTTCGGGCGCGTTATATAGCTGGTAGATTGGAAATGATTGCGATGCAGATATCGTTTGGTGATTTTCGTAATTTGACTCAGTTCATAGAAGAAATACCTTAAAAAGATGTATTTATAAGCAGGTTCGACATTTTAAGTGGTGTGTAATATCCTAAAATTGAAACATCCAATTTTTTGTCTCGTTTTAACTGTACATAACGCTTTGACACGGCGTGGGGTGTCAGTGAAATGAAGGTGGTGGTTTTAGTCATTGTTGTGAACATCTTCATAGTAGTGAACAATTCATTTTTAAGTTTGAGAAAAAATTATGAGGTAATTTAGAAAAAAACTAGTTTTGTAAAAAATGCACCAATGGTTAAGGGCTATGTCTTAAATTGGAGGAAATCTCAGTAGAGATCAAGCTAAACACATTTTTTATTTCAACTTTCAATGATTACTTGCTATGTTTAAGGGAAAAAAAACAAAGGGTTGTAGAAAACTCGGCATTTTAGGGACTAAAAACTAGATTGAAAAATTCAGTGCTTTCAGAGCTGTATGCACAACTTAAGCAAAACTCATAGTTTAATACAGTAGGCAATATTGCAATAGCATGTGATTCACACGAGCAATGGCTGTACACTATGAACGGATGATTTCAAAAACAAATCTTCAAACTTCAGTAAATGAGATTTACAAGTGCTTTTTCAGGTATATTTCCTTAAAAAAAAATTACACATATCAATAAACGTTTTTATGACGAACTCGTTCGAACTTTTCTTCTTTCATAAACCCTTAAGACCCTAACATCTGTATGCATATTCTCCATAGTGATCTCTAGATATTTTCCAAGGTGCCGACAAGGAGAACTTGTTTAACAATCACGAGCTTCTTTAGTTGGTGATCATTTCCTTTATTCTCAAGACCTTTATATGTGATTCGGGGGATTGATGCAAGGAGAAATTAAATACTTGTCAGATGGGTCACAGGGTGAACTTTTTACCTGCTAATTCGGTCAATTTTGGTCGTGTTTGTAAATTGATATAACATTCGTGCACCTGATGCCATCATCTGAGATATGTCTAAATTAATAAAGGGAGTAAGCTCCTAAAGAAACTGTAGTGCTGCGTCGGTGGGGGTAACAGCGTAATTTGGTTTTTTCAACTAAGTTGATTGAATAGTAAATCGGCCACCGTAGAGTTAAAGCTGACGTTTCAAACGACAGCAACAACAACGGAAACAACTCCAACAGCGATACAGCTGAACGGTGGAACAGAAGGAAAGACGACAGATACAAAAGTGGTGTAAAACTTAAACAATAGCAACAACATCGTTAGAAAATGGTTCAAATCTGCGGTAGTATGAGTTAGTTGAAAGCAAGTGATCGAAAAATGGGTCGAGGGAAATCGGATCTTGTTTGAGTTACCAGGGGGGTTTGAGTTAACTGAGTTCGAATTTACGAGGTTCCAGTGTTTTAGTCGAAGTGCCGCATCGGCAGGTTGTAGATCAAATATTTTGATGAAATCAAGACTTGACAAACTGAGCGTGTTTTGATGTGAATTTGGTGGAAATGATTAAACAGAAGCAAACTGCACTGACTCCTTAACCTACATACTTGATTCAAGCGTAGCATTTTCTCCTAATGGCAGTCACCCATTCTTACACAGACTTCTTGTTTTGTCTCGCATAGAAAATTATTGTCATCAACCGCGTATTTCAAAATGAAAAAATTCGAACGGCACCAACCGCTTTAGCTGGGGCCGTTTTCGCTTGTTATATCGATTACCATCAAAGGAATCCTTAAAGTGTGTTCATTATTTCAATCGCAGTTGGTTCTCTCAGGGTCGGTTAAAATACTTTTCGAGACGCCTCTACTAATCGTGTATCTAAATATCTAAAATATAGTACTAGCATATGCACCCAGGACGCGGCCACCGCATTACTGGGGCACTTTTAGCTTAATTTAGAGTTACGCATTTTTAAATATGGGACACAACAAAATATGTTCCTACGTACGGAGAAGGTTGTTGAATTTTGTCCTTACCAAACTCCCAATCAGTTAAGACGAACGATAGGCGAGGGAAGGGCGAGAGGTTGGAGGGAGAGAGAGAACTTCCTTCCTTCCGTAACTTCAGTTCTCGCAGGTCTTTTTCACTCACTCGCCTGCTTTTCGCTTTTTTGTTTTTTTAATTTTTTGTTTTGTTTTTGTCATGATACGAAAGCCCAGAACAGGCTACATTTAATTACGATTCATTTCGAAATCATTAAACAACAATGAATAAAGGCTGATAGTTTCTAAAGAAACTGTTTGGCGCTGCGTCGGTGGGGGTAACGAAATAATTTGAATATATCAACAAAGTTGAAATGGTAAATTGGCCACCGTTACGGTTATAAAAGCTGACGTTTCGAGCGTTAGCCCTTCGTCGGAGCGAAACGAAGGGTTAACGCTAAACCCTCCGACGAAGGGCTAACGCTCGAAACGTCAGCTTTTATAACCGTAACGGTGGCCAATTTACCATTTCAACTTTGTTGATATATTCAAATTATTTCATTAAATAACAGATTGTCACTATGGCAAAAAGTACCCTTGTCGCGCACACACAGACGTTTGATGAGTCAGTGATTGTCTATGTGTATCAAACATTAAGATTTTGTCCACTAAAGTGTCTCTGTATCAGCATAAAGAGCATTCTGTTGGGTGTCAGAGAAGAATTCTTCAGAGGAGCATTTGTCATCGGGCTTGTTAGACGACCAGAGGTCAGCCACTCATCAATAGATGCACGTTCATATGTGTAGCCATCTTGTGAGATAAAAAAAAAAAAAAGAAGATAACAAACCCACATTTGCAATTGAATACTTTTTTTAGCCAGTTCGCCGGGAATTAAACTTCAGAAATAATTCAAAACTACTCTTCACCATTAGACAGAGAGCCCCCACTGACGGTTTGCCGATACCCATTTATGATCCTCGGTGGACAGAGGTACTCAAGTATGTCACACCCCCACCCCCCCCCCTTAAAAAAAAAACTTAGTAATCTGGCCAAGGCTTAAACCCTGTCTCTTAATCCAGAGTTGGACCAAACACCCACTGGCCATCACCTTTCCAACAGAAAAGAAAACAATTAATACTCAGAAACTGTGCCAACCTGCAGCAATAACGGGATCAGTCATGATTTCTCTTGTTATGGGACACAGAAATTCATCAGGAATATCTTCCTCAAGCTCCTCCTTTTTTATTTCCTTCACTGTTCGCAAAATTTTATTGCGATGACCAGCTGGACCTGAAAATGATTTGATAACTTGCTGTTATAATTTTTTTCAATTATATAAAAAAATTTGCTCCATAAACTTCATCCAGTTTTTTCTTTAATTCAGACCTCTAATTCTCCCTTATTATGGTTGTGACACAAATCCTGGTAACCTAGTTAAGATGATTAGGTTTTGGACCAAGATAACACCTTGGAGCTAAAAAGTTTTTGTGTTGTTATTATCATTTTCCTAGTAAAGGGCTTTCAAGTGTGAGAAGAGGACAGAAGTCAATCACCGCTAGGAGGTTGAAGGGTAAAAGCAATCATGGGGCTTTCTAGAGTATGACTTGCTTTTGTCATGATTGTTTCAAGGAAAATAATCTGAAAATCCCTTGCTTCAAGAAGCATTCACATTACTAAAAGAACATAACATGGCAAGTTAACAAGTTTTTACAATTCTCACATATTCCTTAATCCAAGTATATAAAAAACAAACCACATATTAATTGAATCTAAAGAAGGAGGTACTTCTGGGCACTATCTTTTGATAAGTAACTAGCAACCAAGACACAGATTTATTGGGTAGGCAGCTTCAAAGAAATGCAACAATACCTAACTAACTAGTTCAGTTGCCACTGTCAAAAACGTTTTTTTGTTCATCATAACTTCACAAAGTCACAACGGACAGCAACACCAAGAATTACACTAACCATTTCACTCCAGGACCAGGACAAAATTTCTCCATACAATATCAATATAATATCAAGCAGACAAGAGATGGGAATAAAGAAAACTATCAATTAGGGGATTATTGCTTGATCCAATAACAAAGTCTTCCTAAACTGACATCCAAAGAATTGCAAGGCAGACAGCAAGGAGAAATAATACTGAAATCTTGGGAATGAAAGGTTTAAGAGGGGAAAGTAATTCCACATATTATTGCTCATGGCTCCATTATAAACGGTTCAAAAATCTGAGGAAATAATAAGTCAGACCTAGATTCCACTCACCAATACCAAGGTCTGATGCCAGCACTTCGCTTGTCATGTTGGACAGCTCCATTCCATCAATGGCATTCTGACGGAATGATTCACAGTAAATATCAAGATCCAATGAAATAAGCCAGCTACAGACATCATCAACACTCCATGTCACAAGTTTCTTCCTTTGTTTCTTGGGTTCCTGGGCATGGACCAAAGGTAAGCACAGTCATTCGTAGTCATAATTTCACGCAAAATACACAGCTACATTCAGTTAAAAAATTGTCTATTGAACAATGCCACACTCTGATGAGAGTATCATTTCAAAGGCAAGAAACAGTTTACAAATTTAGCAGAAAAACTAGAACTACTAGAGCATCCAACCTTACTACCTAGGTTCATGAGACCACAACATTGCTTAAAAAGGAGACCATCAAAATTCATCTGAGATGATCAACCAACAAACCATACGTGTACCTGGGATTCCTGTTTCTTTACTGGTGTACACTGTAGAATTGGCTTTGCTGTAGACCTGCCTGACTGATCCAGTTCACCTATTTAGGTTGGGGTTCAACACATTATTATTATTCTGATAATTGTTCGGCAGGCAGGAACAAAATTCCAACTGGGGTTAGGAAAGAGAAGGGAGATTTTCCACAAGTGATTGCAGACACACATGAGAATACTATTTGGAGCAACATGAACAACACTGTACATGAACAGATCATTATTTTTGTTCAGTCATAATTTGCAGGCCAAATGGTGATCTCACTTTAAATGAAAAGGAAGAAAAACTGTTTCAAATGATGAAATAATTAACAGTTACCAAAAATTTTAAGTACATCTGAACGTACCGCTCTCAGTTAGACAAATTTTCCACAGCTTCACCATTCTGTCATTTGATCCTGTTGCCATCCAGTTCCCATCCAAAGAAAATGTACAGCAAGTTACATACCTAAATAATGATGATACTTAAGAGTCATCATCACAGTGGTTGCAATGCCTTTTTATTTTAATTGGTAACGGCCCCACCAAGTCTTCCAAGCAGCTGTTGACTGCTTGAAACCCTTCAATATAATTCAAATTTAGGTACATTGGTCAAAAATTATTCAATGTGCTTTGTGTCGAGTCATTTAAAAGATTCAGTACTATGCTCTTTTCCCTAACCCTTAATAAGATCAACCCTTGTGAAAGTTACTCTGCTAACACAAGTTTTAAAAAAATGCATTTTGGTAGTATTTAGAGCGGTAAAAATGCTCTCTTCTATGTAATTTGGTGTTACAAGCAAGATAATCAATTTCAAAAGTTTCAGGTCATACATTTTGTGTAATTTTAAATCTGAGGATTTGGTGTCACACAAACACTTGTCACGAGTTAACACTTGTCAAGGCTGTGCTCTAAGGAAAATTGAATGGAGCCCAGTGCTCTGAAACTGTGAAATCCAGGGGGCCCAGCATATACCTTAGGAGTATGAAAAAACTAAAATTCCTAAGTCGCCCAAGAGCAAACATAAGGTGCCAGGGGCCACCGGGCACTGCTAGACCACAGCCTTGCTTGTCCAACTTCATGTCAACTTTCTGCTTGAGAGTGTATCAGCTTTGTGAGGAGAAGATCCCTTTTGATCACTCTTGGGAGTGAAAGGGTTAAGTAGCACACTTAATTTACAAAACATTTTAAAACAATCCAGCAAATACTGTGATCAGGGTTAATTACACATACCTTGTATGCCCCTCCAATGTCAGTAATGATACTCCCAGCAACTGTTGAAAAGAAATTTCCAGGATCACTTTTACTAACCATGATAGGTACTCACTTCAATCAAATATAAATAGATATTCTCTCTAGCCCTCTGAAGATCTAAAAAATTTGCCCTCCTTAAAAAAATATAACACAAAATGAAAGAACCGAAAGTTCACAAATAAAAAAAATTATCAAAATTCAAAGAAATCTACAACCTAGTCAGTCATCATGTAAGTGCTTTGTAAAATATTCCGTCCAAAGTTTACAAGAGCCAGCCTCAAAGTTTGATGATACAAAGTATTATAACCCCATAAAGCAATAAACATAAATATTTCCTGCCATCAACTTACAGGATCCCAAAGGATAACTAACTTGTCTGAAGACCTATGAAATCAAAATTAAAAAAGACAGCATTCAACATTTGTTCCCTGTTTTGCATTCAATCAGGTAAAACACATTTCTGTGGTATGGACCTGGGGGTTAATTATAAAATTCTTCTTTCCCCTCTGTGGACATAATCTGACCCCCTGTGATCGGTAGCACAGAGTAGCACAGCCTACTCACCCTGACGCCATGATTTTGCCGTTTGGAGACATGGCAACACCATGCACTGGGCCCTGATGACCATTTAATGAACAGCGTTTACGGATGTGGCACTCTTCTGAAAATGCTAGCAAAATAATTTACGACAATTTCAAGAAATCATCTAGCAAAAAGCATGAACAGGAAAGATAAAATGTTCAGATGATGAAAAATTCTGTCAACTGAGAAAGAAAGAAATGTACTGCATCTGGAGGGGAGAATTATCATTATTAATCAAAACATCACAGTTAACCCCTTAAATCCCAGAAGTGACTTTAAAACAAGTAATTTCTTGCTATAAGATCTAGACATTGTCCAGCAAACAGGTAATGAGAATACCGTAACTTATCAGATAGAAGTTGTTAACATTATCAAATATTAAATTCTCCTACCTAATTTACAAGGAAATATATAGCAGCTGGAGAGGACAACTAACAATCAGACCTTTGGAGTTAACGTGTGAAAGAGCTATCAAAGTGATGTCAGCAAGTCAAGGCAGGATTTACTCAAGTCTAATAATCAACAAAAAAAATACACAAAAAATTGCATCACTGTGACGATACTAATACCTGAAGCGGTAAAAATGTCCCACAGCTTAACAAGATTATCATTTCCACCAGTAGCAAGCAAAAACTGTGGAGCACCACCACTTGTGTCTTGAAAACCAGGATCTGCAACAGTACCGCAATGTTTGCTTATGTCATGCTACAATTCATTAATAACCCTTCTGTGTTATCTGTTGAACTCAACTTTATTTCATGATAATACCCTTCTTGCATAGATGCTATCCTTGAAAAACTGCTCCAGGTTGAGGCAAACTAATTATAAATTCTACCTTCTAAAATACACTTAATCAAAAGAATGCTGTATCAATTAGGGGGAAAAGAAAATAAAGTATGTTACAATTCAAAGATCTTCAAAGAGCATGTTTTCGATATTGCAAGCCAGTTGTTTTAAAGGTTTAAATGCCATATTTTTACTGGACAACAAAAAGAAAATTACAACAATTATGTTAGAATTCAGTGATCTTCACAAAACTTGTTGTAGATATTGTAAGCCTGTTGTTTTAGGTTCAAAAAGGTAAGAGATCTTGTTACAATTAATGTTAGATAATTCAATAAATAATATTCAGACACTGTAGCACAATGTAAGCTTACAATTTGTATCAAGACCAAGACGGCGCAACACAACTTGAGTCATAAATGGAGATTCCACAGTATTCAGTACTATAAGAAGAATTAAAAAAGTTTAAAGAAAAGTGTTAATTTAAAAAAATAGTCACGGTAGTTGTTTATTAGGTAAAATGTAGTTACCAGAAAATCTGATTTAATGCCAAGTTAACCTAACTTATGGGACAATCATTGTAAAAATAGTTTGACAAATGTTTAATTCTGGATAAATGCATCAATGCAATTAGAAAATTTGAATCATAGCTAATCAAAGTTTAACTAAAATTACCATTGATGGTTATAGTTTAGGAATGCAATTGTTATTCAACTACAAAATCAAACAGGAAAGAAAAATATTACTTACAAAACCGATGTAATCATTAACAATTTACAGGTCGTTTACATCCTAACATCAGTGTGCATATTCTTGATACTGTTCACTATACATTTCTTGTACATTTTCTTGTACATGTCTGTGACGGCTAATTCCTTAAACACTAAGGCCCGCTATATAAGAAAGTCTTCCCTGGGAAGACCTAGGCTCATTTGTCACTTACCGTTGACGTGGGCGGGTCAAATTCAAATGCTGGTAGAGGAACAAAAGGAGCAAATGAGATATCTATTGTTTACTTCCACCAGCATGGTGGCATGAGGTAACGTGCAAACCACCTACTTCCATCTCAAATTTACCACCACAAATAAAGACAGTTTCCATTGGAGAAAGGAAATACAAATCTCAAAAATTCTTGTATTGTGATGAAGACATAAAACAATTTTGAGGAATGCGCCCACTGTTCACTGCTTTGGAGTAGCTGTAGCTCAAGCTCACTTGACTCTAATAGTTCTACATCACACGACGGTTGATTGACAAATGGTCCAGTGGGACATAAGGCTCCTTTTACAGTGCACCTTCGTGTTTAAGGATTTGATCACAAACACAATAGTGTGAAAAGACGAACCATTATCAGCTATCCTAGCTGTTTGATCATGGACTAAGTCACTTTCCATACATGCATAAAAAAAAATAGTTATTCTTGCTAAAGCACAAATCAATTAATCATTGATGAAACTATCTCATGATCTACATGTATGCTAGAAAATAAGAATTGAAATTTTTAATTGCATTGAGAGTAACCCCTGTGTTTGCTGATGGATCTACTTCCATCTTGACAGAAATAAAGAGCTACTGGTTATCAATTTGATGGAAAATTATAATATTTTTCTATACTTCAATGAATAATTCGAATGAAATAAGTACACCTGCATCACAGGTAAAATCTTCACATGTTTATCTTTCGTCTAATTAAATAACTTTACAAAGGAAAACAATAGGTAATCAATAGTAGGGCTGCGTGAGTGTAATTTTCTAGGAGGTTTACTGCAAAGCGACTTCTGTTTGAGTAGTCACAATGGCCATTCTTAACCCTAAAGAGAGCTAAAATTCGAGAAATGTAGGTAGTGGTATAAACTGAAGGAGAAGGATAGTGGTATCTTTTCAACATAAGTTCGTTAGTAGGAACCATGCAGTTTAAAAATTATAACACAGAATTGACTCTAAGATCCCCAACACTCTCTTTCAATATTCAAAAGAGGACAAACAGCTACATAAGAAACAACCCTTCAGCACAAACTTATATCAAAATGATTATGTGGGTAATATTTGGATAAAAAATCCCACAATGAAGTTTATTAAAAGGACCACGAAACCACAAATTGGAAAGAACGGTAAGAGTAACTTACTAGCCGATCCAAAAGTTGGCGAGAAGCAACAGTCAGCTACTCCGAGATCATGTCCTTCCGCGTAAAACTTCGTCATTTTTCCACTCTGGGCATCCCAGATACACAAATCTCCCATACTTGTTCCAGTCACTATGTGCAAGCTATCTGGCGTAAAACAACAAGTCAACACACTACTTTCCAATCTATCCACGCATTTGACAAGCTTTCTAGATGATACATCCCAAATACAAAACGTTTCATCTGCAGAGCCGGTAACGAGAAATCGAGAGTTAGGTGAAAACCGACAAACGCGAACAACGTTTTTGTGTCCTTGTAGAACCGAAATCATGGAACCAGAATCAACATCCCAGAGGAAAACACTACAGTCCGTCGAGGCTGTTGCAAGTATAGTTCCAAATGGTGAGAAACTGCAAGAGTTGACGCTGTATGTATGCCCAAGCAATGGTGACACCGACAACTCGCTCCCATTTTCGATATTCCACAGTCGAACTGATTTGTCGCCAGAGCTTGAGGCTAAAATTTTACTGTTGGGTGAAAAGCTACAAGATGTCACGTCTGTGGCATGTTTTGCGAAGGTGTTCACTAGTACAGCCATTTGAGAAAAAAAGGAAACTGCTACATTTTACGCAAATAGTGAAATAGGCCTTCCTTAGTGTCTACGACTGATACCCTGAGAAAGTTTGAGGTTTTCATTACGTCATGCGATATAGATACGAGTGCTACCGAATGCTTCCCGGACTAATCCGAATGAGGAAAATAGGTCCGCAACACTGCATAAATTTTTACTCAATTTCTGGTACCCTACGTAGCTAATAGCTTTTTGGACGCTCACAAAAAGAGGCAATAGAGCTGCCAAAAATGAGCAGCGGAGCAATACAAGAATTAATCTTAAGTCAGTTTTCTAGGGACGGATATCAAAGGAATACTTCGACATTTTAAAAGAACAAAGAACAGAAAGGAGCAACTAGCAAATTATGTCTGAGCACAAGTATGCACGCATATTTTTAAGTCACTGGGACAGAAGTTTGTCTCTGATATGATGTACTAAATATCCTGATCAACACATTTTTTAATATTAGCTTGTTATCTTTCATCAATTATAATTCAGATACATACAGTGACGTTACCGTCGGTATTTTCTTTTGTCTTTTTCTGATAAAAAACATGGAGATTCCATGTCGTCGATTGTTTTTTTTTTTTTTCTTTTTCTCTTTTTCAGTAGAGCGGTAGAAATTACGCATACGCATGGGTTTAACGTGCCACTTGTGGGCCAGGGAATTCTTGAAGATCGCAGTGTACGTTGGACCAAGCTTGAATCTCTCTTCTCACGAGAGAAAACCGTCTTGACTCAGTGCTAAATCAGGAACCAACGGGAACGGTTCTTGAAGTGACCTTTATTTCTTCAGTATTAACCATACTCAGATAAAAATCTTTTTCTTTTAAATCAGTTGATTGACTTAGAAGGAACATAACCAGCATGATGATTCAAGGATAACGGCTAGGGTTGTAGCAGAGAAAGAGATTGAAATACAATCATCAGTTGCAGCCGAGGTTGATTGTGCAATAAAAGAAAAGCATTTTTCTAGAATATAAGGCTCCGAGATTTTGATTCCTACACCGATATATTTCCCCTGATGATGTCATTCCGTGCTTTGGGATATTCCGCAGTTTCACCATTCCGTCATTCCTCCAAATAGGGTTGCCCGAAAATTATGTCGTACGTCTTGATGAAAAGCAAAACCTCTAAATGCACGTACGTTGTCGTCAGATCAATGTTGAAGTGACATTTATTGAGCATATCGTCGCTGAAAATTTTAAACAAATGCATTTTAAGTCACGTTATGTAATATGTTATTATGGTAATATGTCTTATTATTACTGAAATTAAAAGAATAGCTGCAGCTTAGCAAATACATAACCTGAGATGATGGGGGCCCGCTCATCCAGGCCTTCCTGAAAGGGTATCCACTTGGCCCTTTGGGGTTATTGTGTGCCGTCAAGTTGTGGTTTACATTTTTCCTTGGTTTAAAATATCAGAACCAGTTTGAACTTCACCTTCTAACAGCTTTGAAGTAAATCGGTGTTCATTGAATCGTTAACCTTATCACCCCTCCCTTCTTCCAAATGTGGCGAGAGAATTGACCGTTTTCACAGTTACGCATCGAGAGAAGGAAATTCAGTGGATAAGGTTCAGAAATTGCAATGTTATAGGAGATAGGTTAAGCAAGCACTTCTCCAAGTTTTAGGTCTCTTTGTTTTCATATACGTAAGATTTTCGTCGAAATGTTTTGCGCAAATTTACAGAGCCCAGTAAGGAGCCGCCGCGCGTGTGTAGGTGGATATCTTTGGTCCACAACATGGCGGCCGGAAATAGAGTACAACATCCGAAACTTACCTTGGCTAGCTAGCCCACTGATTATCTAAACTAAACCAATAAACATGTAAGAAACACTTTTTCTAACAAATGATTTCATAAAAAGGCTAAAAATCAGCAGATAGGTCTATCGTTTATATTTTTCGACAAACGCGATCGGAGCTGTAAGTTTACCCACCATGACTCTGACCTTCAAACTGCGCTGGTTTCCAAACCAAGCACGCTATTGAGCTGAAAATTTTGAAAATGTATACGAATTTAGACCCCCTTGTGCCTGATGTGGATAAAAATTTTCGGGGTTCTATATTTTTGAATTTTCAAATTTGAAGATGTCACGTGAAATCAGCAATAACGTCGCCCAGCCGTGAACAATATCTTTCTGATTGGTCAAAGGAATCTCGTTTGCAAATTTATTGCCTCGCGCCCGAGCCTTAATTCACTTCGTGCTAATAATTGCACACTGCAAAAATTTGTCTTAATCGTCTCTTGAATAACCATCGAGTTTCCTTGAGAAAAAGCTTTTGCAGGAGATCATGATGGAAAGGGCATAATCGTAAATTTCATCATGCGGATCACGGAAGTGTTGTTTAAAAATGTCTCCGACCTTATTCAACGCTTCAGTCGAAATCAACAATCTTCGTTGTCGATTGAGAAATTCATGTCTTTCGGTGAGTGCAGTGGATTTTCCGTACTTTCTGCAGTAGCTAGGGTCGTGTTTTCATAAGGGAAAAACGTGCTCACTGTAGAAGCCTCACATCATGGAGAAATTAGGTCAAAACATCAAGGGATTCTTTTGATTTGGTGGATGGTCGAAGAACGTGCCACCCCAGGATGAACAAATATTCCTACTCTCCTAAAGCGTTGGCTGTGAGATCAAGAATAGATCTTTTCTTTATTATTATATTTGCCTCCGTGAAAAGTATGCGTACCTTAACGAATCACAGTTGTTCTGAGAATTGAGAAAATGGAGCTATGGAACGCATGACGCAACCTTAATTTCCTTAGCGGAAGCGAAATCGAAAGTAAAAGCAAAACCTAACTAAATGTGAGGGGGAAATTAGAAATATGCATTATTGACCAAGGCTGGATATTGGCCGAGTTTTTCATCGGAGTGACTGAAGGCTCTCAGAAAACCTCTACCTGGAATTGGCGGCCATAAAATTTATCTCATCGCACGTGATGCTCTAATTTGTATAGGTAATCACATGATTTTGAGTGCAATTTGGAATAAATAAGCACGAGTAAATTTTTTTCAAAGACTAACAAAATTGCATGAACCCGTTGGGCGAGTACAATTTGTGGTCTTTGAAAAAATTTTTAAGTGCTCATTTATTCCAAATTGCACGAGAAAATCATGTGATTATGTATTAATAATATACATGAAAAAATACGAGGTAGTTTCTCATAACGACGCAGAAGAAAAGCGCGCGCATCACGTGCAAAAATAATTTATTCAAACCCTGCAAGTGACATTGACCTTGACATTTCATTCTGACCAATCAGAATGTCTGGCTTGTTTCTTTCTTGCACTGAATTAACCCTCTTCTGCACTGAATGAACTCTCTTCTGCACTGAATTAACTGAAAACTGCATTCATCTTAACCAATCAGAACTGAGAAACTTTTTCATGTATATTATTAATTAAAAAATAGATTCTTGTAGTTTGAGAGTGCAACTGTTCATTCCCATAAAAATCATTGTATTTCACCCATTGAGCAACGTTAACGCTATGACTATAATTAGACTCATTACATTGTGTGAGCTTGGGCTGCCTGTGGTTGAACATCAGGGACATTAGGTATTTCTCTGTTAACATGATCTTCTTTATACCTGGGGATTTGGTGATCTGCTGATCTACAGATTCGCAAACAGCAAATTATAAACCTAGGAAAATAATGTTTGGATGGGCTGAATAGAACAATTTTCCACTGTCAAAACCTCCACTAAGTCAACCCAGTTCAGGAACAAATGAAAAGTATAAAAAGGAACTGAGTAATCTCTGTGAAAAAAAGGAAAAAGGTGTGCTTTTTTTTGATTCAAGTGTTGTTGGGTCAAACATGGTGAGAGGATATTAAATAATTTTTCATATTAGAAAATTTAGAATTTTCATGGACAACGAGAAAAAACATATTAAAGCTGTGAGTCAAATTTTGTTAAGTTAAGAGAAATATTAATACTGATTTATGCAGTGCTCACATGTAACTGAGTTACATGTCTCTGACTATTTCAAAAATTTTGTAAATAATCTGGAAATAACATGACTAGATGTCAGGGAAAAGAATAAGATTTGGAAGGTCACTTAAATCATAAGGAACATGATAGAGATGATGATAGAGAAAGATTCATACATATTATTCCCCACTTTNCTAAAACAGTTATGAGGTTTTTTCATTACGTCATGCGATATAGATACGAGTGCTACCGAATGCTTCCCGGACTAATCCGAATGAGGAAAATAGGTCCGCAACACTGCATAAATTTTTACTCAATTTCTGGTACCCTACGTAGCTAATAGCTTTTTGGACGCTCACAAAAAGAGGCAATAGAGCTGCCAAAAATGAGCAGCGGAGCAATACAAGAATTAATCTTAAGTCAGTTTTCTAAGAATATCAAAGGAATACCTTTAGCAAAATATGTCGGACTGAGCACGAGTATACACGCATATTTTAAGTCACTTATAGACAGACGTTTGTTTCTCTGATGTGACGTACTAAATATCCCGATGAACACATGTTTTAAAATTGGCTTGTTATCTCTCACCAATTACAACTCAGCTACATACAGTGACATTGCCATCGGTATTTTCTTTTGTCTTTTTCTGATATAAAACAACGAGATTCCATGTCGCAGGTTTTTTTTTGTTTGTTTGTTTTTTTCTTTTTCTCTCTTTTTCGATAGAGCAACAGAAATGACGCACGCACATACGGTTTAACGTGCCACTTGTGGGCCAGGGAAATCTTGAAGATCGCAGTGTACGTTGGACCAAGCTTGAATCTCTCTTCTCACGAGAGAAAACCGTCTTGACTCAGTGCTAAATCAGGAACCAACGGGAACGGTTCTTGAAGTGAACTTTATTTCTTCAGTATCAGCCATAGCCATATAAAAGCCTTTTTCTTTTAAATCAGTTGATTGACTTAGCTGAAGAACATAACCAGCGTGATGATTCAGTGATAACGGCTAGGGTTGTAGCAGAGAAAGATTGAAAAACAATCATCGAGATGTACGACATAATTTTCGAGTAACCCTATTTGGAGGAATGACGGAATGGTGAAACTGCGAAATTTCCTAAAACACGGAATGACATCATCAGCGGAAATATCTGCGTAGGGAATCAAAGCCGGAAGTCTTATATTTTAGAGAAATGCTTTTCTTTTATTGCACAATCAACCTCGGCAGCAACTGATCAGCGAAACCTCTAAATGTACGTAAGTTGTCGGCATATCAGTGATGAAGTGACATTTATTGAGCATATCGTCGCTGAAAATTGTAGGAAAAAAATGTAGACAAATGCCTTTCAAGTCACGTTAATATGTCTTCTGATTATTGAACTTAAAAGAATAGCTGAATGAATGAATGAACTTTATTTATCGTCGATAACGTGGGGAGTGGTCATCCAATCTCCCGAGCCAAAGGGCTCATGAATAAAACGCTCGACTAAAGGAAATACAAATTAGATAATAGATAAATATCGATATGAGATATAAAAGTTCATTAAACTATATACAATAAAAATTGATATAAAAGTTAAAAAAAAAAAAAGCTACAAGATACAGCTCTGACATTGACATGCTTTATACTCTACATTTTTGATTAATGATTTGAAATGCTGGACCGTAGGGGCTGATTTGGTAGACAAAAGAATTATGCATAAAACGATTATTATAAGATGGTTGAGAGACGTTTAATCCACTACCTCGTAGGTTGTAGTTGGTAACCCTAAGCTTAAAAAAATTAGATATATAGTTAGGGCCGTGCATCCTAAAACTTGGGAAAAAGACAGAGAGCGAATGTTCGATATGTCTTTGCTCAAATGAGTCCATTGAGGCGATAGATAGACAAGCGTCGTAAGTGACTGAGTTCCCTAAATTTAAAATAGATCTTAATTCATAATGATTGGCACGTTCAAGTTTGTTGTTCAATGTTCGCGAAATCCCTAGCAGTAATGGAGAACAGTATTCAAAGTTCGGTAGCACGTAGGCTTTGTATAGAGTGATCATCACATTTGAAGGAACCAATCGCTTTATTTTACGCAAGGCCGCTATTTTAGCGTAAGCTTTTTTTAGCATAAAATCCACATGAGGCCTATAATTCAGATCCCTGTCCAAGATTACGCCAAGAATTTTTATAGTAGGCTCAATGTCAATTATCTGATCCTCCACTGAAAAGCGGTATGTGAACTGAGATTTACCCAGAGTCATTGCTTGCGTCTTAGCTGGGTTGACTTGAAGATGGTTAGCGGAGAACCATTGTGTCAGTTTTATAACATCATGATCATTCAGGGTAGATTCAAGCACTACAGGGGACGTGTGGGCTGCGTACTGTGTTGTATCGTCTGCGTATAGACGGAGTGAGGAGGTGCCGACTGTATAATTAACATCATTAACAAAAAATATTGAAGAAAAGGAGAGCTAGCAGGCTACCTTGAGGAACTCCACACCGAACTGGTAGCCAAACAGAAGAACTCCCATTGCATTTCACTCTTTGGAAACGGTCAGTGAAATACGACTGAATGAGCCTAATGGCAGACTCTTGACAGCCATACGCTCGTAACTTAGCCTGTAAAAGATTATGGTATATTGAGTCAAATGCTTTTGATAAAACAATTGCAATCACCCATACATCCTTTTTCGAGTCCACGGCTAGACGCCAGTCTTCCGTTAGTTTGAGTAAGGCAATACAACACGAAAGACCGCGAAGAAAACCAGACGTATTGTCCGAAAACAGAGGTGAGAAATGACGATACAGCTGATCAAACTTAAGCTTTTCGAAGACTTTAGAGATTGTTGTGAGGACACTGATGGGGCGATAATTGGACTTTGATGTTTCATCCTCTTTCTTATAGACAGGTGTCACATAGAGAGTTTCTATTGTCTAGGCCACACACTGGAGATGATGCAGCGATTAAATAGCTTTGTAAGAGGCCCAGCAATAACAGGAGCTGAAAGCTTAAGCAGTTTGGGTGATTTTCCATCTGGGCCAGCAGATTTCCTAATGTTCAAATTAGCAAGAGATCCAGCAACACGAGATATACTGACTGGCAAAGTCTAGCTTTGGCGCGCTATTCTTTATGGCTAAGACACTTGGGTGGTTCATGAAGTCATCTACAGAAAGTTGTAGGAGACACACGTCAATTGAAGGTGTTGTGAAATATTTGTTGAACAGTGCGCTAGGATCAGGAACAAAGGCGCCTCCGTCAAAAAGATGAATTGTATTGGAATTATCAGTTAGCTTTGTATTTGGTAATAGCAGTCTCCTACGTTTCCAGAACAGGCCAGAGGAGTTGTTGGATGAATTGGAAGCTGCAACAATGCAAAAGTCTTTTACAGCCCTCCTTTTCAAAGCAGTAACTTTATTTCGCTGTGACTCATAAGCAATCCAGTTTTCATTTGTAGGGAGCCGGCGAAATAACTTATACAAGCGGTTTCTAACTCGAATTTGTCTTTGGATAGATAAATCAATCCAGGGCATACTGTTGTTCTGAAGGCTCCTACGTTTAATTGGAGCATGAATGTCCACAACGTTCATAAATAGGTTTTCCCAGTGAGACCAGATATCGTCTATTTCTTCAAACACATCTGCACTTTCCCAGGGGACAGCTCTTAAGTGAGAAAGGAAAGCCTCTTCATCAAAATTCTTAAATGATCGAAATTCAGTAATCCTTGCTTTCGATTTCGGCAGCTTTTGTTTCCTAACGGTGTAAATTAGATCATGGTCACTGATTCCCAGGCGTAGAGTACCACTCACGGCAAAACGATCAGGATGTGATGCAAGGATAATATCCAGTAATGTTTTAGAAGCTGTGACTCCTCTAGGATCAGTGATTGTATTGGTCAAACAAAATTGATCACAAAAGTTTGTTAAGTAGTGACTTGGTCCTGATAAGGTCTCATTTTCCGATAGCATGTCAATATTAAAGTCACCAATCAACATGATTTCTTTCTGTTTTGTATACATTTTTTCTGCCATCTCAGCAAGCGGTGGCAAAAACTCAGAGACCTTGCATTTTCCTGGTGATCGATAACAGGCACAGATTAAAAATCATGAGTTTCCACAGCCCTTGACATCCAGACAACTCGACTCAATACCTACAGGCTCGAGGATTGATCTGCGAAGCGCTGTGATGGACGATCGAATATAGACCAGTAAACCACCAGCGCCTTTTTTCGGTCATGTCTAATAATACGATAATTCGAGTGGGCAAACAGTGAATTGCTCACAGAGCAGTCAATCTTACTCTGAGCTATAAACAGAATGTCAAATTGGCAAGTACTGAGTAAATCAATAATCTCGTCTTTGGTTAGCCAAATGTTGCAAAATTCAACAACTTGCATATTTATGATTCAACAACTTATATTAATGCTCAACAAAATATATTTTTATTCAACAGTTTACAGTTATATTCAACATTTTATATTTATGTTCAACGACACGCATTTTCTTTTCGACCAAAATTATTTTCATTCAACAACAATATTTATTCAACTTCAACGAGAAAAAACATATTAAAGCTGTGAGTCAAATTTTGTTAAGTTAAGAGAAATATTAATACTGATTTATGCAGTGCTCACATGTAACTGAGTTACATGTCTCTGACTATTTCAAAAATTTTGTAAATAATCTGGAAATAACATGACTAGATGTCAGGGAAAAGAATAAGATTTGGAAGGTCACTTAAATCATAAGGAACATGATAGAGATGATGATAGAGAAAGATTCATACATATTATTCCCCACTTTGAAATCCTCAGAATAATTTTTTGTTACAACAATCAGAAAGAGAAGTATCAATTTTGTTCCCAAGATTCAAACATCTGCTTTGTTGACATATTTTGTAGCAGCCACTCAAGAAAGCCCCTTTTAAGAGCCACTGACCATAATATTTAGAATCTTGCAACAGTTACAAAATTTAATACTTCATTTTTATTTTTCATAAAACACCCTTTTGATGAACCTTTTTTACACATATGAAAGACTATATCAAAAAGTTATATTGGGCTTTACTTCCTCTGAAAAATTGAAAAGTTCAAAATCTGCATAAACCGTCGTTAATATGGTTTCCATACTTTGAATATCTACCAGTACTCAGTTATGGTGCCATCATTTTGGGACTTCACCCAAAATGTACGTTTGTCGGTGTTTTACTTTGGTGATGAAAATGTCAGCTTCTCACACAGATGTTACCCACTTTTACCAAAAGTATTGGCTTGACTTTCCAGTCCATGCATCTTTTAAGTTAACATTACTAAAAAATTGAATTAAAATGATCTGTTTTCCAGAAGCTCTATTCTTACAAAACGAATTTTTGTCAATAATTCCTAAGTCAAAAAATATCTTCCTTTCTTTTCGCAAACTCAAGATGTAATAGCCGGGAGCCAGAAAAATTTCCCGGCTGTCAGCGTGATTTTTCCGCCTGTAAAAGCGAGTAGCCACCTTAAAAAGTACTTATTCTCTCTCCTAAATATTTCCAGAGTAATTAAGCAATTTTTTTAGCTACTTACACCTTCGTTTCTCGTTTACTTCGACTGATATGAGCGTAAACATATCTAGTTGTTGAAATCTCGAACGATCGGAGTTCCATCACCCTACTTCTCTAGTCAGCGGTATTTATACCTCATGTATGCATAACGATAATATTGCTTGATCGCGAACTCCTAGCGGAGCGGATCGAGAGAGAGCAAAGAAAAGTGATTCCGAGGCCACTGGAATAAGGAAATTATTTAAACTGGCCGAAAGTAACACATCAAGGGCAAGAGTACCATATAACCCCATACATTAATTATGCATTCAGACTAGTAGACTTTGTTTTTAAAGTTTTGTCGTGAAAGACAACGAAGTGAAATGCATAATTAATGTGTGGGGTCATATGGTACTCTTTACGCATCGAGAGCCTTGTCCTGCTTTATCGCGCCTTATATTAACCCTTTTACGTCAGTGACAAGAATCTAATTTCTCCTTACAATATCACCCTTGAATCAAACATTAAGGCTATGAGAATTGAGGAAATAACCACCGCGTAAAGAAGCCCTCAATTGTTAAACAAATGCTCCTTGTCAGCACCTTAGGAAATGTATAGAGAACAGTATGGAGAATATGCATTCTGATGTTATGGTGTAAAGGGTTAAAACTTTGTCATCCCTTGGGTCATGTGATTTGACATTATCACTGTTATGTGCATTGAGTTTTAGCATGGGTCTGAAAAGTTTCCTTCTTTTGAAAGTAAAAACAAAAACTAAATATCTATCAATTTTGATATAATGTCCAAGGTAGAGAGTAAACCTTTAACACATAATTTATCCTTTCTTTTTCCAGGTAAGTCTGCAAAGCCCATTAAATCTTTCAAGTTTGGTCGACATGAATTACCCATGCGACTTGCACACACTATAAGAGAGTTTGATCTCCTTCCTGAGAATTTACTTAAAATCCCTTCGGTTGAACTTGTCAGAGGATGGTAAGTGAGAAAGATAAGGAATTTATACCAGAGACGAATGTTTAATTTTGCTGTTGGTATTGTGAGGTTGTTGTTTGGCAACATTTCTCTATAAAGCAAGCTAATTGGTGGGAGTTTACTCTTGAATGAAATTTACAATACTCATTTCTTCATCTTTTGATTTAATATAAGGTTTGTTTTCTTCCTGTTTAAGGTATGTTCAAAGCTTTAGTGAGGTAACTGAGTTGCAAGATGAACAAGAAACAGATGAAGTTTTAAAGAGGTAACATTTTTTACTATTCATTGGTAAGTGATTGAGATCGATGTAGACTTTGACAATAATGAAACAAATACAAATGCTGTTGCTTTACAATAAATTCTGGGTCCTAGAAAAAAGAATTGATTGATTGATTACCTTCTAATGTTTGTGTTTTAGATATACCCAGTGCTTGATGGACATCAAACAGCACCATAAGGATGTTGTTGAGACCATGGCCCAGGTATTTGCCCAAATAGCTTGTAACCTAGACTCTTCTTTGTTCACACTTTTTTTTTGGCTACTATGTTCTGTAATACTTGTAAAGTTGTGCTTAAATCACAAATATGTAATTGTTAAATTTTTTCATAACTTACTTAGGGAATTATGGAATTGAGACAGAAGGAGGGTGATGATGCATTTCATCCATCAATACAATACTTTTTAGGTAAAATGTACTGTTGATAACTGTTTGATACAAATACTTTTCAGCCATTCTTGTTATTATTTTGCTCAGACACATTGATACTGTAGTGGATATTTAAAAGTACATTTACCAAAACATGCTATAATTCCATTCTCTTGAGTTTACATGCTACCAACCAACTCACTGTTAGGGAAGTCTGGCTCCCGTTGTCCAAAGAGCGGATAATGCTATCCAACGGATAAATTGCTATCCAGCGGATAAGTGTTACCAAAACGTACTGTGCTAATTCCACCGGATAGAGATTTATCCACTGTAGAGCGTTATCCATCCTTCGAACAACCGGGGCCTGGTGTTTTCTTGGAGAAGGCCTTATTCTGTAAGAGAAAAGTGAAAGAATAATTTTCACTACTTGCGAAAAAACTACTCAAGATGAGATTTTAGACAGTGGATTCTGCCTGGAGGAAGGATAATTTTCCAATATCCAATGCCTTATGATCACCCTGTTTTCTTACCAACAGATTGTTTTTATATGAATATGATAGGTTTTCAAATGCATACCAAACAACATTGTAAGTACATCTTTGTTCATCCTTTTCAACAGGATTAGCATTTAAAGGACTATAGCAACATAGTTGTGGGTGTGAAGTGATACCATGCTTAGTATCAGATGCCTCCTCTTATTTTTCCCAGATGCAATCAACAAGGCTGCCTACCTCTGTGAACATTATTATTGTGCTGCTCCTGTGGTGGAAATTTCTGAGTTCAATGGCAAGCTTTCCTTCCCCAATGGAACATTTGTACATGTATACACATGAAAACTTTTTGAGGTAGATCCAGTTTGTGCTTTCACACCTCTTATTTAATCTTATAGTGTCTGTTTTTTAACGTTGGAAGGTTGAACATTGTTGTAACATTTTTTTTTCATTTAGCTGTTGATCTTGAAGACCCAATCCAAATGGCCGATGTTCCTGGACACTTGTATCACATACTCTCTGAATTGTTGAAGGTATGTTCTTGGCTCACTGTTTTAAGTGTCTTTGAGGTGAAAAAGTGTAATTGTTCTCAATTGATTCCAATTTTTTTTTTATGAGCTAATTGCACCAGGTTAATCATTTCACAACCACTTAGAAAACAATTAGTCTCACTTTTGGAAAAAAAAAGTTCTCATTCAAATTACCTACCATTTCCAAAATCATACTCCTTGTGGATTGCATTGAGAGAGCCAAATCATGAGGGAAAGTGGCATTGGAGACTTCCTATGCATTCTATTTGCAGTGCTTGAACTCCGTAAATTAAGTGTGCAGCATAATATCATGTGCTTCTCAAATTGGGTTGCAGACAGCAATGGTAAACAATTGAACAAGGAATTGTTGCTGAGGAAGCTCACACTTACCATTGGTGTATATTTCAGAATGCCATGTGAGCAGTTGTGGAGCAACATGGAAGCAGTATGTGCATTCCTCCAATAAAGATAATGATAACCAAAGGAAGACAGGACATGACAATTAAGGTAATAGCAATTCTTGTTTTATTCAAAGCTCCTAAAAATAGGTGGGTATTGCACTTCAGTGCTATTTTCCATTTTTACCATACAGTGTTCTGATTTTCCAAGATTTTTGGTGTGAATATCTGGCCAAGAATTTTTTGACTAGATTAAATTACTAAGTTATTTAATCATTGTCAATTGGACAGCTGATGGGTGAATGTTTATTTCTTAGAGTGAGATTGGTGGCAGATTTTAATGATACAGAAATTTTTCAGATACAGTTATTTTAAACTTTTGGATTAATGGGAAAATTCTTATCTAGTACAGATAAAGTACATTGTTACATTTTTGTCTGAAGAATCATCACTTTCTTAATATTTTTTGCAATTTTTCATATCAAAAGCTTTTAATGCTTGTTATAAATTGAGTTTAGAATTCTTTTCCTTTTGTCTGTTTAGATTTCTGATCAAGGAGGTGGAATCCCAAGGAGTACAATTGACAAAGTGTTTGAGTATCACTATACATCAGCACCAGAGCCACTAAAAGCTGATTCTGCTGCACCTATAGTAAGAAAACACACTGCATTTCCTGCGATGTGAAACTCAATTTCCTACAGTGTATTGGGACCTGTAAGTAGTAACTTAGATACAAGGCTTCACTGGCCCTTCACTCTTGGAAATGCTTATAAGAAATGTTCTTTTCACTCTGGAACGCCATCAAACAGAATCGGCTGATGGGAATAAAGAAGATTAACATAAAGGACCTTTGATAAATGAGCCAGTCCAGTTCTGGTCTTGTAAGGAAAGGAAGCTCCATTGTGTTGCAGTTGATATGTTACTTTTTTTCGTGTTAGGCCGGTTATGGATACGGGCTGCCATTATCTAGACTCTATGCCAGATATTTTGATGGAGAATTGCAACTTTATTCCATGGAGGGTTTTGGTACAGATGCGGTGATCTGGTTAAAGGTAAGACTTTGGTTGTCTTGACGTTATGTACAGTAGCCTTCTGTCTTAACTGACATTAAAAGATTCGTGTAGAGGAAACCTGGACCCCCTCATCTGCTGGACCCCTTTCTGGACCTCCTTGTAGTCCCATATCTAATTAGGGCTGTCAATGAATCAAATGTGGTCAAATACTATTTTTTGAACAAAACCGACATGATTTCAAAGGGTCGAAGAGATTACAGCCCAATTAGAACAGTAAATGCCACTTACCATACGCTCCACTCGCCGTGCCCGCTAATGGTCAGCAGCACAGAAGAGATGGCAGAATAAATTAGACTGGTATGTCTATTACAAAAATTTTATTTCACCAAAACATTACAAAATTACGGAGTAGCTGCAAGGTCACAAGGAATTGGTTTCCAATTTATCATAAAATTAGACTTCACTGTAAACTCAGGAAAGATGCCATAAAAGTAAACTGTAGGGCCGAAGAGGAATGATCAAGAGAGTAAGTTATCAGTTTAATTTTTAATGGAGTGCAGAAGGGAACGGGGAGGGGCAAGTTTTGTTTACACACAATTGATCTGTTTGGCTGAGATGTTCGATAGCTCGGCATAGACGGTTTTGAGAGTCGTGGACGATAGCTGAATTAAAGTTTTGCATTCCTGCCCCGATGTTTTCTCCACATCGTCTGCAGAGCTTATCATGTTTTACAATGCCGAGGCAGTAATGCTCAACAGATTGCCCAAGGTCAAAGTGTTCCAAAGGCAGATAAATTTGCTTTCAACTCTTCGTGTTCGTCTTAAACATTCTGTGTGTGTTGAATCCTTGCTTACTGGCTGTGAGACTCAGCGAGGAGGCCTAGGGTGCGCGAGTTAAAGGGCAGCACCTCTTCACCTTCACACCTTTGAACTTCTATAATGCTATCTTCACGAGTGTCGTAGAGCTCAAATCGTCTACAGTACTGCCTGAAAATTCTTGTTTAACCCTTTAACTCCTAAAAGTGACGAGCCTCTATATTGTCCTTTTAATACCACTACTTACAAAGGTAATAGTAAATATCTCGCAAAAAGTCTAGGGCCAGAAGACAGATTTGGTGTCACCTTTCAAGGATGATGCAATTCTTGTTTCACCTTACATTAGGGGCAGATGTTGCAAAGCTTATCGTAAACAATGCCCGATTTTGAGAAGGTATGGACGCGAGGATTAAGAAAGGAATGGAGCGTTGCCGGGCTCCCAGATAAAGAAAACGACTGCTCGGTTTATCAGAGTGAAATTCCAGAAAAACGTGATATACCGGACCAGTGTGGTAGCCGATCGATGCGAGTGTGTCTGTCTCCTGATCGGGGTGGTAGTCTGTCGTAAGACTCTTGTCATCTCTAAATGTTTTTGCTGATGGGTTTCTCGCAAATTTTTAGCCAGATTTTTTATCTTTGAAAAATTAAATATTCAGGACAGGAATTATTTCCTTCTTTAGTGTGATATATAGGTCATTTCATCGAGTCAATTTTAAAGAACAACAAAAATATACCTATCACCCCTCTCTTGTTAAAAAAATAGCAAGCGGTGCATGACGCTAGTCATGAACGATATCTCCATTGTGATTGGTTTAAGAAGCTCATGTGATAAATTTACCGCGCCACAACTACGCATCTCCATAAATTTACTTGTTATCGACTAGTGAGCAAAGTCCGACATGGCTAAATATTGAATTGATAGTCTCTTATATTGCAATCGAGGTGCTGTGAGAGGGAGTATGTGCATCAAAAAGGATAGGGAAAATAGTTTATCTACCAGGGGATAATAGTAAATTTCACAATGCGGATAACCGGAGTTTTGTACGAAGATGTCGCCAAGCTCATTCAACGCTTCAGTCGCTACCAACAGTCTTCTTTGTCGATTGAGCAATTCACGACTTTCGGTGAGTACAGTAGATTTGCCATCCTTGTGAGGGTCGTGTTCTCATAGCAATTGACAGCAATGAATGAATGGATCTGTTAGGAATAAAAACGTAAGCCTACTCTCCAAGACGCTGTTTTACAGATGCCAGGCAATCAGCCAGATAAACTACCTCAATTATCATCCTTTGTAAAGATTATTTTCTCCTTTTGTTCGATTTACTTCAGCAGCTTTACTTTCAGTTTTTTACTGCTTTTCATTTGGCTTGCGAGATTCAATGCCGGCGAGCATTCGTTATTCTTCGAAAACACGATTTTTCACAAACACACTTTCTGTAGTTTAACCCTTGCCCACCTTTGTTGACGTATATTTTCGTGCGCTCATTCGCGTGTAAAAAAAGCATTTCACTATCAGTATTTTTAGATAAAGAGATAGAAATTTATATATTCCCCGCTTTAAATTCTGTAGGTTTTTTTTGGGTAAAATGATCATCAAATCAAGTTACCGGGGGTCTGTTGATCTAGAATCACGTTTCACTTTTTAAGGTCATTTACCTTGTTGACGTAGGGGACGGCGCCCCCAAAACGCCCCTTTTTCCTTGTTGATGTTTGACATAGATCCGTTTATCGATTACTTTTGCGTCATGTGATGGTCAGAAGGTTAAAATCATGATTCATAACCTGTTTTTATGTGAAGTACAATCAACAAAACAACGTGTGCTGAAAAAGACTTTTTAGTTGTGATCTCCTATTGTAACCTGTTTTCTGTTATGGTAGTCATACCTTGAATATTTACTCAGTTGCCCTGACATCAATTTGGGAATTTACTCAAAATGTACTTTCCTCAGTGTCTTCTTTGTTGATTAAAACAAGTTTGCCTCACAAATGTCACCCATTTAAACAAAACATTTTGGCTTCCATGCACAGTAAACATAAAATTTTAAGTTCAAATGATGTGGTTTATTGAAGATGATGTATTCCTGTAAAGCAAGTTCTGGTCAATAAATTCTTAAGTCAACAAGTCACTGACAAACATTAATGACTCAGACTAAATTTTCATTCTGTGAATGATAACTTTTTTATATTTACTTGTTTTGTTTAAATAATTCTCAGAAAACTACAAGATTTTACTCAGTCAACAATGTTCAAGCTTTTGATAAATATAGATAATTAGTGTAGGTCCTGTGCATCAATGTCAGGTGTTGTTTTCCTTTTTTTTTTAAATCCTGATTGTTCTTGTTACATGATCATGTCTTCACACAAACTCACAGAGATAAACGTTATGTTAATTAATTTGAGGCTAATGCCAAAATAGTGCTACAATATCAAATTACTTATGGTTGCTTTTTGCAATGTCATGATTCTTCTTTGTGGACAAAAAAAACCATCGTGCCCGATGTTAACCTACAGGCCCTTTATGCAAAAGAAATACCTCAAGAATATTTTAAGACTGCAGGCAGTTTTGATTAGTTGAAATACAACAGTTTTTACTGTTACCAATCATATAATGTCCTACACATTTACTGTGTTCGTAAAAGTATGGTGTAATGCCTTGTCATCCTGTGGGTCATTTGTTAAGCTGTAATTGTTATCATGGGTGCTTTTTATTCTTAGCAGTCTGAGAAGTTTCCTTTTCTTGACTGTTGAAAAATAAATCTTAAAATTTGTCAATTTGGAAGAGAGTAAATAAACATTTGGCTTCCTTTATTTATATAGGCAAAACTGCAAAGCCCATAGAATCTTTACAGTTTGGTCGACATGAATTACCTGTGCGACTTGCGCATATTATTCGTGAGATTGATCTTCTTCCCAAGAACTTGCTGAAGACGCCTTCAGTTGAGCTTGTTAGAAGCTGGTGAGTGTTTGGACTTTTCACCCTTACATCAGTACACATATTTACCAGGGCTCGAATTTAATTTTTGAATCACTAACCCCTCGGGTTAGTAGGCATCTTATTTACTAACTAAATTATAAAGTTTGGTATCCAAGCTCACAAGTTACGATATCTCAAATATTGAACATTTTGATAACAACGACTAGGACAAATTGAAGAGTAGCTGAAAGTGCATGGTGACCTTAAAAACATTGACAATTATGCACCTATTTTATTTCTCTCTTGTTTACCATGATTAGTCAAGAACAGTACATCTACAGCACATTCTCTAAAAAGAGTTTAAGTTCATTAAACAACTTGAGTATTTTAAGAATTCCTCTGAGAGTTGGGCCTACATGCTCTTTGTCCTGAGGTCTACCAATGTTTAAATATGTTAGAAAATTTTACTAACCATGTCGGGTTAGCTGGACCCATTTTTAGTAACCAAATGTTGAAAATTACTAACCATTGGTTAACAGGTTACCGTTAATTTCGAGCCCTGTTTACCATACCTCTTTTCTACATTACTCCAGGAGCTTACTAGAGAATGAATTTTTCTCATTTCTGCATTTTTGAGTTAATGTATGGTTTTTTTTCTTCCTGTTTAAGGTATGTTCAGAGCTTTAGTGAATTAATTGAGTTCCAGGATGAACAAGAAACAGATGAAGTTTCAAATAGGTAATTTTTTTTAGCTATTTATTAGCAGTGCTCTCTCATATTTTATATGTAACAGGTTACAGAAATTTCCAAGCTGGAGGAGTAATCCTTTTACCTGTTGCATTATCAAGAATTACAAGTGATTTTGAGTGGTAACAAGAGGTTTTATAGGCATTGAATTTTGTCAGTTACTGCTTTAGAAGGGTAACACTGTATTTACTACCAGTATATGAGTGTAGTAAAACTGGAGTTCAACAACAATCAAAGAACTTTCTGTTGACGAGGTTTGGCACATATAAAATAAATGGTAGTCTTTTCATGTTTGTGTTTCAGATATACCCAAAGTTTGATGCACATCAAACAGAGGCATGATAATGTTGTCGAGACTATGGCTCAGGTATTTTCTTATACAACTCAATGAAATTAACTTATAGTTTATTTCATTCTCATTCCTTAGACTCTTGAATAAGCCACCTTTTTATCTTTCCTTAACTCTTTTAAAGTTGTGCTCAAAACATACTTTTATTTTTTTATAACTCAGGGAATTATGGAATTAAGAGAGAGGGAAGGAGATGGTGCATTTCATCCATCAATAGAATACTTTTTAGGTAAAACATACATGTACCTTTGATTACTGCATTTCAAAGAAATACTTTGAAGCTGTTTCTGTTTTCTGTTCATATTGCTAGTATAGGCAATATGTTCCCTGAAGAATTAAAAAAAGTTAGTCCTTCGGTAAAGAAATTTCATAAAAGTAAAAAGGGCAATTCATGCCTTCAAACAGAATCTCTTTGTTGTGACCTTAGTGACAAAGTGAAATTTTTTGTTTGTAACACATACTTGCCAAATATTGCTACTATTCCATCCTTTTGAGGTTACTACTTTTGAACTTACTTTGAAGGAAAGTCTAGTGTTTTCTTAGAGTTTTTATCAAGAAATGACTTGATAAGAGGATATAAGATATAATTTATGGAGAATACATCTGTAGAACAAAATTGCTTACACAATCAAAATTTATGAAGAGAATTTGTTTTCTTACCAACAGATCGTTTTTACATGAATCGGATTAGTATACGAATGCTTATCACGCAGCATTGTAAGTACATGATTATGCATCCTTTTTTCCTTTTTTTAAAAGCTTTACATCTGTAATAGTATCATGAATTAATTACATGACAAACTAAGCACTGGCTCTCATCAATCGAGACACAGCTGAAAAAAGCATTTTGGGCAATCTTTTTGCTCAGATTACAATCCTGAAACCGCTTGTCTGAGTTTGTTACTTAAGATTAAAACCCTACATTAGGAACTACTGACCTGTACTTGTGGGTCAAACATTTCAATATAAATACACAGTCTACCAGTAACAGGTTTGGAAGGAAAAAAAATTCAACTACAGTGCTGTAGGAGATATCATTTGCTCTACCCCAAATTATCTTAGCTTACTTGTGAGAAATATGTGGTCGAATGAAGAGAGAAATTAAATTTAGATCCAGCCAGTGAAAGGGATAACTGTTTATGGTGTAAAACTGAGGATAAACTCTACATTCTCTTTTTTGTATTTCTATTTACCAGTGGTGCTGTTTGGTCAAGATGCAAGAAGCTCTAAGAGTAATTTTATTGGCTGTTTTGACCCAACCTGTCATGTTGCTTCTGTAGTAGAAGGTATTTGTTACACTTGATATTGTTAAATTGCATTTCAAAACCTCTCTGTCCATCACAGAGAAGGTGAACACACACAGTGTGGTGTGTAGAGCACTTGTCATCTATTGGTGTAGTGTAGGTTCAATTCCCAGACCTAACTTCACATATGGGTGGAACTTACTGTTGATTCTTGTCCTTGCTCTCGAAGTTTGTCTACTCACGCTAAAACCAGGGCTCCAAATTCTTATTTGGATTGACATTCTTAAGACTGTAGGTAGTAGAATATTTTACACTGACAAAGTTGTGGGTGTGAAGTGATTCCATGCTTAGTATCAGATGCCTCCTCTTATTTTTCCCAGATGCAATCAACAATGCTGCCTACCTGTGTGAACATTATTATTGTGCTGCTCCTGAGGTGGAAATTTCTGAGTTTAATGGTAAGCTTTCTTCTCTCAAATTCCGTTTGAACATGTACACATGCAAATGTATATATTCCAGTTTGTGATTCAGTTTGTGATTCCCACAAACACCTCTTGTTATCTCTGAAAGATGTGCATTTTGTTAGAAGAAAGCATTTCTTAGTGTAATGTTTATTTTATCTCTTGTAATGATGTAGGCGTCAGTCAATTTGGAGCTTCAACTAATGCCCCACTCAAGTGCTGGATTTGATGGTCAATTTTTTCTTAAAAGGCACTATCAGTCCTTACAGTCCTTTTGTTTTGGGCTATTAGATTGCAAAAGTGAACTCTTTCCTTTTAAACACCACCATATTAAATGAAAAAAGCACACATATTCCATTGAAAAGACTTGACACTTCCAGATCTAACTCACCACCCCACCTAGGCAGGGTTCAAACTCCCCACTCCCAGGGCAAGGGTGATAGTCAAATGCCCATGGGTTGTCCTGAGGGGGATGGGCTGAACTTTTGAATTGATAGACACATTACTTTCGTGTGGAGGAGGTTAAACAGTGTTGCATTTTTCCCATTTAGCTGTTGATCTTAAAAAACCAATCCAAATGGCCTATGTACCTGGACACTTGTATCACATGCTTTTTGAATTATTGAAGGTATGTCATTAGCTCACTATTTAAATTGCCCTTGAGGTGAAAAAAAAAAAAATGAAAAAAACTGTTGTTGTTGTTGTTCTTTATTGATTTCAGTTTATTTATGATGAAGTTTCACTTGGTTAACATTTCACAATTAAAAAATAAGTCTCATTCTTTTGGCAAAGAGTTCTCATTTAAACTGTCAGCCCTTACCAGATTATATTCCAGGTGAGTTGCATTGAGGGAGCTGAATCATCTGAGATAGTGGCTAAAAATTAATTTTGCTGTGTCTGAACTTGGCTGATCAAGTTTACTGCACAACACTTTGAACTTTAAGAAGTGAGCTGCTTATGATAATGGAAATGACTCAAATGACAAGTAATTACCTAAAAAAAACTTTCTCTGCTTTGTAATTCAGAATGCCATGCGTGCAGTTGTGGAGCAACATGGAAGCAGTAGTGATGCACCACCTATAAAGATCATGATAACCAAAGGAAGACATGACATGACAATCAAGGTAATTTCAGTAAATTGTACTTTTTTTTATGGAATATTGCAGTCTTTAGTGCTAGATTCTTTTTAGATTTGTTTTATTTATTCCTTGTTAAAGATAAGGATGTTTACATCCAAAGCTTGAACATATCTCTTCTCTGTGTACCTTTCAATAAACGTTGGCCAGCCTTATATATATCTTATTAACCAAGCGTGAGGGCTGTACTGGGAGAATATCGGCACGAGGTCTTGACAGTACGGACCGAGCGCAGCGAAGTCCGTACAAAAAAGACCTAGGGCCGATATTCTTCCAGTACGGTCCTGAGCAAGCTTGGTTAAAAAGAGATTTATTATACGACTGAAGTTCAAAGGGATACAAGTGTGGTATCAACCGGGACCATTCGGGACAGTGCCCGGACCAATACTTCGAGAATATTGACCAGCAATAGAGCATTTTGATTGGTTGATTTTAGTTATTGGCCCTCTGACTGCCCGAGTCATGTAGTAATAATAAGCATAATTGCCTAATGATAAGTTCCCTAATAGAGAATAGTCTTTGAAAGTTCCTTTGCAGTGACAGCCACTCTTTACTCGGTTTTATCAAATGAGTTGATTATTTAAATTAGCAATGGTAAGGATTTGCTTAAGTTGACATTCTGAGAGTTAGCTTTTGGTCAGAGCTAACTCAAAGGGCTAATTCTTAAACCATCAGCAATATCAGCTTCAGAAACTCTACACGAGAGCCAAAGTATCTTGTAATAAGCCCCGTCAACATAGCACCACAGTTAGTAAGTTACCCCTGTACTCTTTTTTCTTTCTGACTTGAATTTGTTGCATAATAACCAAAAATTCTGTATGCAGATATATTTACAATAATTATGATTAAAATTATTTCTGAATGCATGCATGTGTTTGATTTGTAAATAGCCTTCTATTATTAAAATTCTACACATACCCATGCTGTAATTGTCCATTTTTTTTTTATAAAAGCTGCACAAGTTATCATTACTTTCCCATCATTGACACTTTTTCAGTAATTGAGTTCAATGATGTAGAAAGCTCAAATGTTTGTTCATTCAGTTTAGAATTCCTTCCCTTTGCCATTTTAGATTTCTGATCAAGGAGGTGGAATCCCAAAGAGTACAATTGACCAAGTGTTTGAGTATCACTATACGTCAGCACCAGAGCCACTAAAAGCTGGTTCTGCTGCACCTATGGTAAGAAACACACTGCATTTCCTACAATGTGAAATTTAATGTAGAACCATGTATGCATGCTTCAAGATGTGAAGTAATGTATCGATCAAATTAAAACTGTAACCACCCCACCCCCCCCGAACATTTGACTTTTGAAGATTAGGGCGGTCAAATGTCTGCTCCACCCCTGGCTAAAATTGTGTTCAATGCCCTACCTAACTCAGCGACCGTTACTTTGTACTTTTGTACTCGTTTACTAAGCTTCAAAACCTAGATCTTGGATCGGCATCAAACTGATTACTAATGAGAAGCAAGAAAAGTAACAACAAGGGTCTTGATAAGCCAGCTCAGTTCTGGTGTTGATACGTTTTTTATTTCCTTTTAGGCCGGTTATGGATACGGGCTGCCGTTATCAAGACTCTACGCTAGATATTTTGATGGAGACATGCAGCTTTATTCCATGGAGGGTTTTGGTACAGACGCTGTAATCTGGTTAAAGGTGAGATATTGGTCGTCTTCTATAGCAATAGCTTATATCGTGTATTATTATATGGCTGTCTCACAAGGACTGGGAACTACCGAATTCACGAATTTGATTGGCTGAAATCTCTATTGAAAGAGGTCTAGATTTTCCCATCTAGACCGGTGTAGAAAAAAAAGGNTTTTGTTAACTTAAATTTCATCGAAGTAAAGAGCTAGAAAAGCTGCATAAACTTTCATATATTTTTAGCTACGAGGCCGGCCAGTTCACAGAAGATGACAAGGTTCGAAAGGGTCTACAGGATTCATGATGCCTTTTTAACATTCGTATTGATTAAAAGAAAAGTTGCATTAAAGTCAGTTCTGAGACTGTCTTCTTGGACAAGAGTAGTTAACTGAGGATGGAGTACCCTGGTATAATTTTAAGATTTCGAAACGATTCAGTTTGTACCGGCAAGGGGCATTGAGAAAAATGCCTTTCCAGAATGAAAAGACTGAGACGATCTAGAGAAGGTTTGTCTTTCAGTTTTTTTTTTTTTTTTTTTTTTTTTTTTTTTTTTTTTTTTTTTTTTAAGTGGAGGACGGCGAAGAGATTAGCTCAATAAGTGACCCCAATTTTGGAAACATTTCCTTCTGTAATCGACCCCAAACTGAAGCCACAGGAGACTCTACGGGTCCAGTACAGGGATCCCTTTAAAAGCTGGTTGCCGACGGGTTACTAAGGATGGGCCGATACCGATACCAAATATTCGATACCAGCGATACCGAGGTTGGATCGAAAAATATCGATACCTAGCAAAGACAATGACAATGGAAAGATGTTAATAAGGGTACCACGCAAGGAAGTGTGAGCGGCCCCCATTTGTTTACCATATTCCTTACAGATCGAACCATAGTACTGGCAACCTCGGTCAAGATTCTCCCATACAGACCTCCCGCTCGGTTAACTGCCTGATAATGATGGGCCGATACCGATACCAAATATTCGATACCAGCGATACCGAGGTTGGATCGAAAAATATCGATACTAGCGAGGAGTATCGATTCTTTCGATACTGCACGTGACCTGCGCTTTAGTCTCCCGCGACTAACCGCTGACAAGTAGCCGAAAAGACTTCGGGCTCGAGATCGTGTACGTGCGCAATTGTGTGCAATGTAGGACTGCCACAGTGAACCGGTCAAAGTGGCCGGTTCTTGGAACATTTCACTGTGAAATAGGACTCGATTTTATTAACTGTAAATGTAAAGTCACTCAGTACAACGGCAACAAAATCCAAACTCACAACAATCCAGACATTACAAGGACATATCTGGAGCAACGAAAATGAGTTGAGAACTACTATGCCTGCTTACGAAAGAGAAAACCTCGAGCGAGAAAAGAACTGAGAAAGGCTAAATAGTTCCAAAGTATGGCACTTCTGTATGGTCCTATTGAAGCGCAGGATCTATAATAAGTCGGGCACTCGTGTTTCGTTATTATTAGGGACCCGTGTAGTAACTGATAAACTTTCATTGTACGCCTTATGATCATGAATGCGAGTGAAAGTTACAGATTGCTTAGTATAGCAAGTAGAAAGATTGCATCATTGCGGTCTTTTTCATTTCCTTGAGGAAATGAAATCTGTACATAATAAATTGGAATTTTGACTTGCTTGACTGTCTTGTTGATGCTGCTATAGACTGAACAGAAAACCATGAGAGAGTGCCTTCACTAAGGTAGTCGATCAGATCACGTGACTTACCGATCATTTCAACGACATCACAGTGTCGATATCGAAGAAAAAAGAAAATGTCGTACTCGGTATCGTCTCGATTCGAAAAAGCCGTATCGGCCCATCCTTACTGCCTGAAAAACGGTCCTTTTTTTAACTTGAAGTGACGGTCGTTAATACCCGTGAGAAGATTGAGACGAGCTGGGAGAGGTTTGCCGGGGGTCTGGGCTCCTTATCAGTGCCAGACCCCCATGAAGACCTCTCGCTGGCTCGCGTTTCTTAAGTCTTCGTACCTTTCATAGCTACTGGCTGAGAATAAACACAAACTTTCCAAGTATTTGTCTCAACTGCGTCGAAGAGTTTGGCTTAATGATGCGGCGGTTTTTGTTTTTCAGGCGCTATCAGCTGAAGCAAGTGAAATTCTACCTCAATACACCAGACGGACACCAAAGAATTATGAAGAAGTTAGACTAGCAGCTCAGCACTGTCGAGATTGGAGCTCTTCCAAATTCTACGGATATGGAAGTAAATCCATGTCGACATATCAAGGAATGATGAAAGCTAGGAGGTTGCATAACAGTCGAAGGACTGCCAACTCGTCGTAATTAGGTTTTACACTAGGGTCCCGTGTGCAGACAGAGTATTTTAGATAGACTTGTCTTTGATATTATTTTACCAGAAAATTTCGTAAGGTCTTCAAGTCCAACTTTACTTGACTCTAGATAGAGGAGAAAGATAGATTAAATTTATTAATCTCACCTGAACTACATTTTGTATGGGCAGCAAATTCGTTGCAGACAGACGCCTCTGTGGATCTGGACAATTCAAGGTTCGAATATTGTTATTTTCGAAATGATCATAGACAAACGAAGTCCCACCTGACAATGCCAGTCAAGTTGTCTTAGTTGAGGAATTTAAAATTGACACAGCGATTGGGTAAAGTTTTCTTCTATCTGCTTTAAAACTATATTTTATAATATATTTGTGAACATAAACTGGTACAATAATCTCAGTGTAAGGAAACAACTGTTTTAAGTTATTTACACGATTTTTCCTTCGAATTTTCAGTCCGAGGACCGTCGTTTTGATTCACACGCTCAATTTTTCACTAAGTTATCAATGTGTTTACAAAGATGTATTTAAAGGAGATTTCAAAAGGGTCATGACATTGAGGGTTTTTCTCGTGGGGATTTAGTTTCTTTAATTATATCGTCTTACGATTGAATCACTTCTCCGTTATTTAGATCGTTTGTGGTCGGAAGTGTTAAGAAAAACTTCCCACTTAGTAAAATTAATAATAAGTTTTGCTAGTAATGCTAATCGGTTGGGAAAATTTCACTTTGTCCTCCCGCTTTGAACTGGACATCTTTGCCAAGACAGATGTCGAGAAAGCAAAATATTCATTGAACAGTTAGGAAACGTGAACCAATTAAAAAATTACATTGGAGAGAGCTTTGGTCTTTTACGTCTTTCTTGGATGAAGGCATAGCAGTTGAACTGAAACCAAGCTAAACGACCCTGGATTATCCCAAGAAACCCGCACGATGCAAAGGAACAACCACTTGAGCGAGGTTAAGTATGTCTTTTTTTTTAAAGATTTTTCAGGTTGAGTGCGTGACCGTTTATTTCCATACTGGTTCCTCGATTTCGGCCATTGCGCAATATGAACGAAATTGAATATTTACGGGACTCATTTTGCGTGCTTGGTTTGCTCGCAGAATTTTAAAGTTGTAAATGATATCCAAGAAAAGAAAGGAAAGGAATATTTTGACGTCTATGAACTGAAAGTGGTAAATGCTTGCGGAATTTCGTATATTAGACTCTGAAATCTATACTGAACTCGTGTTGAGCCCAAACTTCGAAAACCATACGCTTTCGGAATGCGCACGCTCGAATAGTCTTCAAAGAAGTGCACCACGGGAAGGGTTCGAGTCAGCCAACCCATCTCCTCCTTTCCCTCCGTCCCTCGCTCGATCTTGGTTTGGGCACCGTTCTATCCTATTTTATAATTGGTTAGTTTATAGCCACGCTATGATTGGCCTAAGAGTTGGGACCAGTCGAGCGAAGTCACCTGACCTGCGGGATATGATGTGGGTTAGTTTCACGTGCAGCATTCCCCGCTGATCTTGCCAATTATTTCATGCTCGGTTTCAGTAAAAATTTTGTTTGATGTTAAAAGAAAAATCGGTCATCAAAGCTATGGAAGAAAAATAGTAGCCATTTTGAGGACAACAGCGCTCCATGCGCATAACTCTTGAATGGAAGAGCCGCCACCTTTACGAGAGGAAATGTATCAGGTGAGGAATGTTTATCGATCCTAAGAAACATGATACAATTATTGCTGAAAATGAGACTACTTGTATTAAGTATACCATCCTTTTCTCGAGAAATACGTGTAGTTGACTAATTTGGAGTCTGAGCACGTCGGGTTTTACAATTCTTCAGAAGACAGTAACATGTTAGGTCTAGAATGGCTTCTATTGTGTTATGCTTCGTTCTTGGGAGCCTCCCGACACAAGTAAATGAGGTGGCCGGGTATTCTGCAATTGCTCCGCAATTTCTTAGGGTTTGCTTTCGATGCCTTTTACTCAATGTGCCGTATACAATTTCGACATCTTTTCCAGTTTGGTGCGACTCAACCTAATAGAGAGTTTTAGTAGATTCACCTTTAGTGTGTTAACCAATGGTGTGTTAACCAATGGTGTGTTAACCAATGGTGTGTTAACCAATGGTGTGTTAGGCCCGGTTCAAACGTCGAACTTTACATGTGCCGAACCTAATATCTATTTGGGTCGATCCAAATAATTAAGTTCGACAGTTGATTCAGACGTCGAACCTGATGTAGTCGAGCCTAAACCGAACAACAAAATGAAACCATTACGGTCATCGCTAATGCCATTCGAGAAGGAAGAAGAAGGCGCCTTAACATGCAAATGGCATTAAACCACCTAGTTGCTCGGAGGAGGAGAGTTTTGAATGCTTGTTTTCTTGTTTTGATGTTTATTTCATCGCAACGAAACAACATCACTCCTGAGTCTCGCTCCTGTCGTCGGTTGAGCAGAAACACTGGATGGTGGGAGAATGCTTGGAACAATTATTTGGAGGCAAGATTGAAGAAAACATTTTGGATTTCTCGGTCAACGTAAAATGGGGTTGACAGGCCTGCACGACCGCCAGCGCGTGTTTAGAATAGCCTATTCAAAGTTTGGCCCTCGGGAGTATGTCTTTGAGCGACCGCCCTCTTTCGTAAGATACGAGGGGCGGATTTTTGTATATTTCGCTCAGTAGTGGTTGTGTTTCTATTAAATGCCAGTTTCCCATGAGAATTTGCTTTAGGCGCTTGTTTTAGTAGTTGTGTAGGGAGAGGAGTTCTGTTTCTGTTGATTAGAATATTTCGTATGCTCTGCATACAGTTTCTATTCCCTCCTCTTGTGATAAATTTGTATATGAGCTCGTAACGTCCATTGAAACAAGTATTGCGTTCTCCAGGACTTTCATATTTTCCTTGCACCTCAAACAAGTGTATTTTGTACTTTTTAGGCACAAAGAGCAAGATTGGTCCTCTTTTCCCGCCATTTTTTTCACCTAAAAGTAGTGGGATTGTGGCAAAAAAATTACAAATTTAATATATTCATAATGTATGCATTAAGCTCGGCACATGTGAAAATCAATGTATGAATCGAAGTTGATCTTTTGCCGTTCTATTCGACAAGCTCAGTCGAATAGAATGGCAGAGTCGACCCTAATACAAAAGCATTGATCCTTATTGATTCAAACGTCAAACCTTATATGTGCTGAACCTAATTATTAGGTTCGGCACATGTAAAGTTCGATGTTTGAACTGGGCCTTAGCAGTTTAAAGGTAGGAGTTAGAAGTTTGGAGATTTTCAGTGTTTTAGATTGACGTCGGATTTTTTAGTGAATACAAACAAGATAAGCAAGCAAAGTCCAGACAGTTCACTGTTATGCACTTGCAGCAGAAATTTTACTTAAAGCACCCATGGAAAATTTTGTGTAGACTGTTAAAATCAAACATAATAAATAATCAACTGACCTCTTCAACAATCTTGCATCTTCAGCCCCACGTTTTGAAGCAGGCGCTCCATTTGCTCCCTGCAACCTCTTCCCTTCAGTTTAGCGAAGTTTTCACCATCACTGAAGGCTTCACTGAGCCTCTGAGCAATTTTGTCCCACTTGGCCAGTTATTCGGGTCTGTGGCAACTTGTCTCGCCAAATGCAAGTCCACAAACGGCCAACGAAATGGAGGCATACTTGAGAAAAATCAAGAAAAACAGCGATGTTCACTGGATGCAAAATCGGAAGTACCATTACATATCTTCATTATCAAAACAAAAGTAGTGCACTGCCATGTTGAATTATCGACAGGATGAAAGGGTTTGCGGTCAAATTGCCTATGACCAAACTTGCCTACGAACAAACCGGCCTACAACTGTTCAGCCAGCCAATGTAGGCGACTTCCCCTCCTCACGCAGGTGAGTTCACTCAAGTAATGCATGCCTTTAAAGCGGAAAATGTTTTTGATTATAGCACATTTTCTTGGTTGTGTGAATGTCATCTTGGCATTCTTTATAATGTTAGTGAATTTGTGAGTGTTAAAGTCATAATTACATGAAGTACGTACTTGCCATAGTACAAACCGCTTTATTTACAACTTTATTTACATCTGAAGGTTTTATTTACAATACAAGGAGTACTTTTTGCTTAATATCTGAATACAATACAAGGAAAACTACTGAATATCCTATCTTACTGATTTTAAACTGAATATCTCAATACAAGGAATATTTTTTGGATCTGTTTTGTTGTGTTGACACAGCTGTTTACTGTATGTGAGTTGGCCCATACAGTTTTGAGCAAGACTTTAAAAGCTGCCTTGCTGTCTTTCATCTTGACTGGTACTGCTCCCACTGATCATGTAATTTGTTCTGCAGAACGCAATATTTCCTCCGCTGGATACGCGTCAGCTTGTGGTCGGCAACAAGTCACATCTGGGCTTCAACCAGCCTTGCTTCTCCGTTGAGTAACTGTATGAGGACGTAGAATGGCAGGCTGCAGCAGCCGCTGGCACGTCAATTCAATGTGTGATGCCAGCCTTCAATGTCATTATTTGTTCAGACTGGCTGCATGAAGATGGACCAGTCCTTCACGGGGAATATGGCATTGTAGATCCACTGTGATGCAATGTATTCCGCCAGCTCTTTATGTGGACCCTCAGCTCCAAGGCGTAGGCGCTCGAACTGTGTGATTATTTCTGTGTATGGCAAGGAAGGAACCACTAACAACTTCTCACCCACCCATGGGTGCCTTGAATGACATGAACAAGAAACTACAGCCCTTTTTATAGCAGTCAAGTAGATTTGAAGATGGATCAAAATTGCAGCAATGTGATTGGCAGATATTATTGGCATTTTGGATTCAATATCATGAAGGTCTTCAAACAATGTCGTATTGAAGTTGAGAAAGTCTCACCTTTGCTAAGTGCTGTGCATGGGACATTGACAGGTTTGTATACGTATCATTAAACAATATCCTATTGAAGTTAAAAAAGTCTCACTGTCTTTGCTAAGTGCTGCGCAAAGGACACTAAACAATATCCTGTTGAAGTTGAAAAAGTCTCACCTTCTTTGCTAAGTGCCAGGCAAGGGACATTAAACAATATCCTTTTTAAGGTTAAAAAAGTCACCGTCTTTGCTAAGTGCCGCGCAAGGGACATTAAACAATATCCTTTTGAAGTTAAAAAAGTCACCTTCTTTGCTAAGTGCCACACAAGTGAAAGAAACATCTGTTTATTTTTGTTTATTAATTTATTTTTAAGTTCACAAACCCGATTGTGAACTAGCCTAATTTAGTAAAGAAACTCGCCAACATAGCTGGGTTCACCTTTAGTTGTAGGCGACTTGGTGTAGGGGAGTTTGGTCATAGGCAAATTGAGCAGTTACTGATGAAAGTCCTTCATTTCAAACACAAAATGTGGCCTAAAGTTTGGTTTTTTACCGTCCCAAATGCATGGGCCAAAAAGAAAGTACCTCAAATGACACATATTTATGGGACATACGTGAGAACTTTGGAATAAGAAGAAAAGCGCCGAGGGAGTTGATCAACCTGAAAATGTCTTTCCCGAAGTTGAAAGGTGAACCACTAACGGTAAATGTGACGGCTGGAGTGGTTTGCGGTTACACGTTATAAGAAACAAACATGAATCTAAAACTCTTTAATGACACAAATTAATGCTGGTGCTTTGAAGGGCTGTTGTGTTACCATGACTCTTTAACCCCTGAGGGAGTGGGGTCTTTGACTCCATTTGTGACATGACAATGCTAATTAGGCCACCAGATGTTTTTAATATGGCAGAAAACTATAAAAACTAACATTTTTAGAAAGTGGAGATTTTGTACTTTCATTTGGTGTAATGAACTAATACATGTGTCTTAAAGAAAAAAAATATGAATAATCTAGAAAGGCAATGAAATTGATTTTTTTCCCAAACCATTTGAATTAGAGAACAAAACTGAAATGAAAATTTTGTCAACACAATAACTGGGCACTATATCAAGTTCTATGT